AGAGGAGGGTCGATTCCCCCGGACGACGGAGAATTAGGGCATTTTATGCACGGGAAGGCCCTCAAATCGGGCCTCGAAAGCGACATCCACACACACACACACAAAGATACGCGACCAAATTATATAAGGTAGGATGTTCATTTCAGCATTTTTTACTTAAAAACAGATGTTTCAAACTTTTGCGATTTCCGTGCCTCTCTGATGTATTCAATTCATCGTTGTCTATCATTCCTAAAACGTTTCAGAATTAAATTCTAAGCTTATTGGCACATTAGTTATCGATTTTTCTTGCAGAAAGGCGACCCGCCGAGCGCCGTAGGCTGCAGGAGAAGAAGTATACGTAAGGTACCACCAAGGCCTCAGCGCGCCCTCCGGTCGTGATTTGCATACCGTAAGCCAAATTTTAAGCAAAAAAAGTTAAGCGAATTTTAGCAGTTTTTTCTTTAAATTTGTGGCTTGTATTAAAATTGTAAAGACACCGGGAAAATTTATTAAAATTCAAAGGTTCACAAAAAATTAGATTTTCAAAAAAAGTGTTTCAACGTTGGGCAAAGGTCGCTTCGCACGGCCGGTATTATTCGTCTTAAGAAGCGTAAAAAGCCAATTAAATTTTAATTCGGAAAACGACAGCTTCTGGGCCTTTTTTGCAGTTTTAATTCAGTTGGAAATCGAATCCCTTGACAATCGTAAAATAGGATTTTTTTCGGTCAAAATTCAAATATGGATTTAACACCTACAAAACCGATTTTTTTAATTTCTGATTTTAAAATTTCGTTTTCAAAGTACCAAGTTTCAAGCGGGTTTAAATAAATAAAAAACTCGGGTTGCAAAAGTTATTGGACTACTAAACTAAAATGAAAAAGTTTTGAAATAAAAATTTTAACTTTAAAAAATTCGAAATTATCAGATTTCTAATTTTCATATCTTCCTTTTTAGGACTTGCATTGGCAGTTTAGCTCAATAAAGAGGTCCCTAAAGGAATTGCCGCCCTTAAAAAGCGCAATTATGAAAATTTTTGAAACTCAAAATTTTTACAAAATGATGTATTGAAGTTGATTAATGTAATTTGTAACTTTAATTTAATAATTTTAGCTTCAAATATCTTAATGTTCACGTTTTATAATTTTTATAACTTATTTTTTTCAGAATCACACCGTCGTCGTCGCCGTAGAGCCCCAAAAAAATTCCCCGGAGCACCGCCCACACATTGCCGAGTGTGAGGAGTGCGACTAGCGGAATTTTTTTTTTGCGCCGCCAGCCACCAAACGAGGGGTTACTGTAGGAGTGTGAAGAAAGGAAAACAAGAAAACCACCGGAAAAACACGGAAGATGGCAGCCGAGCTAGCGGTTCGTGGACCGCACGACTATGGCAACAACCAGGCATGCCATTCACACCTTTTTATGTTGTTACCCCCTCGTCTAAAATTCTAAAATTCTAAAAATCATAATCAATTTAATAATGACCAGGGTTGAAAAGCCGCTTCGCGACTTTTCAACCCTGGCCCCGTCTGACCCCGTTTTATCCTTCACTTTGCATAATTTTCTTGAATCCAGATGACAAAAAATGAAAAACTACCTGTTGAGCCCCGTTATATAGTCGAATCCCCACTTCCGGTCTACGCTAATTGTTCCTAACAAAGAGGTTTTTACAAAAACTTCAATTTAATGTCGAAAATAGGTGATTTTGTTAAATCTGATATGCGTGCAGTCTTCTCCAGGCCATTACGCATCTAATGACGTATCATACATACCTTAAAATCGATCTCCTATCGAGATATCCTCCGGACAGACATCCGGAAGTGGATGCAAAGTGGCACACACACACACACAGACACTATTTTTTTATATATAGTAGGATTAATTCTGGGCTTTTTCATTAATTCGAAGTGCTTTTCGATCTAACTGGTAAGCAATTTAACCCTTACAAGACTGAAATTTCGAAAGTCTAGGTCATCCAGATTTTCATGGATTTTCATGGCGTCACCGATTAGCCTCTGGGCAGCTGGGGAAAGCTAGTTTTTATTTTAAATTTTAGCTTTTGAAAAATCGGTACTTTTGTGCTTGTTCGTAAATTTTGACCAAAAGTCCAATTTTTTATGAGCTTTTTCGATCTAAAAATTGTGTAAAAATTAGGCTGGGTCGCGCATTAATGATAACGAAATCCGCAAATTTTTAAATGTAAAAAAATAATCTTTCAAAAATCTCCAAAACGCTTCCGACGAATCGATAGAGCATTAGTAGGTCTTGAGTATTGTATGCAATAACGAGTAGCAAATACGGTAAAATATCGATAACTCACGCATTAATAGGATATTTGATTACGCAATCTAGTACAAATAAGACGAAAAAATTGGACGCAACAATTGCCATTTGGTCGCTGATATCCATTTACATAGAATTCTTCTTTATTAAAAGTTTTACTGTAAGCCACTGAAATTATTCATAGAATAACCTACATAATTTTACTAAGATTACCCATTAAAAACCATTAAAATATCGTCTTTGTGCCGTCCCAAAAAGACCCCGTTGTGTCGAGTGAAATTCCCCCCTATATGGTCTTTGTGCTCCATCAAAAATTAAATTGTGTCCCCGAGTCGCGTGAGTATTGATCGATTGATATATATTTCCGGGATGATACTAAATACCCTAATACCGCAATTAAAAATTAGTTTTAAGTTATGTTTTTTAGGAAGACGAATACGACGAGAACAGCTCGGCGCGACTCTTCGAACGCAGCCGCATCAAGGCCCTAGCCGGTGGGTAGTTTTATGCAAATTTAAAATGGCGGTTAAACTACAAAATCAATGCAAAAATTATAACATTTATAATGAATTTTAAATCTAAAATACATAATCTAAAACACATTTTTAAAAGAAAAAAGAAAATTGTTACTTTTTTGTAGTTTATGGAGATATGTCAGGAAAATTAGACCGTCCTCTGGCCCGGGCAGTATTAAAATTTGTGAAACACACTAGTTTTAGAATTTTAACATAAGATTTTACTATCTTAAAACACCGTATTTCAAGCTTGTCAATTAAATTTTTACTCACCTAACAAGAGAAGTATTCCTGTGATGGCTGAGTTGATTAAATTATTCGCTGCCCCCTATACTATTACTATTTTTGAAACATGTTTTTAATTTGGAACCTTAATCCTATTTTGAAATTTTATAAATAATTCAATAAAACTTAATTTTTTACAAAATTACTTTTCTTTTCCTTTTAAGTTTTCTCGTCTGGCCCGTAAATAATCAGCTCTCCCGTATTGGCGCGTTTCTGGCCGACCATTACCAGCAAATTGGTGAAACATTTTACTACAAAACCACGGTTTTTTATCAAACGAACTGTTAATGAATTATTTCTATCGTAATCGGACATTCACAGTCGATTGTCGATTAAGTTTCTAGCGATCGGCCGGATTGTTGTCTTTTTAGAAACATTTTTTGGAGAAACTTTTTTAAAACTTTTGGAAACCCGATTAGGCGTTTCAACTAACCTCACCTTTTGGATAGCTTTTAGGTCTTTACCTTGATTAGTACTTTTTGAAACATTTTTATGGTAAAATTCGATGAAATGAATTTTTAGTGAGTAAGTATAAATTAAAATAATATTTTTGATGCGTCTTTAAATGCTTAAAATAAACTAAAAAAACCTAATGGAGAGAGTCGAATTTAAAACGCGAGGACCCCCGCGAAGAGAGGGAGAGAGAGAGAGAGAGAGAGAGAGAGAGAGAGAGAGAGAGAGAGAGAGAGAGAGAGAGAGAGAGAGAGAGAGAGAGAGAGAGAGAGAGAGAGAGAGCGACAGCGAGAGCGAGAGAGAGACCTCCAGTGAATCCAGAGGCCATTCGCAGGGTAGTCGGGGGCATCCGGAATCTGGTCGTTTCGAGGGCGGCGCGCCAATTTGTCATCCGAGTCCCTCCCCGGCGTCCGCTTCTTCTTCTTCTCCAAGTCCCCGGCAAAAAACGGCCCCCAAACAGGCCCCCTAGCCCAAACCCCCAAACGCTAGTCCGCCACTCGATTTCGGGCGCTTCTGAAGTCAGGGGCTCAATATAAATTGGGTAAAAAATGCCGACAACCATATTGTCGAAAACGAGAAACACCGACACCGACAAAAAAAATATCGACAGTTAAATGCCGGCAGTTGTCGACGTTTAGGAATAATTGGAATTCGGCAAAAAATGCCAACAACCAGACCGTCAAAAAATTAAACACCGACAAATGAAACATCGACAGTTAAATGCCGACAGTTGTCGGCGTTTAGGAATTGGAATTCGTCAAAAAAATGCCGACAACCAGTCTGTCGAAAACTAGGACACCGACTGATGGAATGCCGAATTCGAGCTCCTCGCGGCTAAATACCGAAAAAACGACCATTATTAAATGCCGACAAGCGTAATTTTCACGCGACAAGAATGCCGACGAAGGGCTAATTGGCTAGCTGCGGGAGTCTGACTGCCCGCAAATGAAATACCGACAATTAAATGCCGACAAAGAAGTGTTGTAATTCTGTCAATGAAAATGCCGACAAAATACAAATTACGGCCAGAATGCCGACAACCGGTAACCCCCCGAGAATTTTGCACCCAAATCCCCATATTTTTATTTTGGTTCGAATCTCGCTGCGACAGTCTTATTGATGCGGCACGAAATCCTCCAAAAACAGAATTTAGCGAAACACATTTTTTTTTGAGGAAATGCTAAAGTACTTTTTTGCTGATTATCATAGGTGGTGATGATTTAGGATGATAAAACCGGATAGGTATCGATTTATTAAGTGTTGTAAGCAACCACATTTTTTATAAGAGATCCTCCAAATCCCCCAAAAACAGAACTTAGCGAAACATTTTTTTGCAAAAATGGTAAAGTTACTTTTTTGCCAATTCGCATAGGCGGCTAATTTTTAGGATGTTATAACGGAATAGGTATCGATTTATTAAGTGCTCTAAGCAACCACAGTTTCTATAAGAGATCAGTATATTGTTCATTGGTTTTAATCCAATTAAAGTGCCCTCAAAAGCTCTCCCATATCCATCAAGTACCAGTCGGCGACGGCTCGGGCTCGGGGGTCTAGCTGAAAAAGATATTTATTTAATTATTACATATAAAAATTAATACATAATCCAAAAATAAATAAATTTAGCGCATGTACGTATTGTACGCATCCTACGTTTTGATAGAGCGTTAAAATTACCCGAAAAGCTAATGAATTTTAACGCAATTTAAGGTAATTTTAATCTTATTGCAATTCCTATTTTTCTATTCCAAATCCTAAACAGCATCTAAAAATAATTTCAATAAGGAAATTTAAAAATTTAGAAAGATTCACATAATTTCTGTAAAAATTCTAAAAACGCTGAATTTTTCCAAAGAAATACGAGATTTTTGGTAAAAAATTTTCAGCTGAACTTTTGCTGTTTCGAGTATTATAACGTACATTCCACCTCCCAAATCCAATACATAAATTAGCCGGCGGACAGGCGACCATGTCAATCGTCGAATCGCCAATCATCACCAGATTGTCGATTTGCCTTTCGGCTTTCAGCACGCGTAGCAGGTTCGACTTTCCGTGCTAAAATGTCGATTTTCTCCCAATAAACCGAGATTTAGGGTTTAACCAATTACGCCAGGGATAGCCCAGAAAAAGACGCATATTTTGGTGTATAAAACGTTACAGGATAATGTAATATAATTTTTTTATGATTAAAAAATGCTTTCTGAGGCACCCGGGACCTCTTTTGCTTATAAAAATTTTATATATTTTAGTTTTTGCGATTTTAATTATAACAAAAGATGCGCCTTTTTTGGGCTATAGAATGGCATAATTCGTAAAGCAACGAAACGAAGTCCAATTAAGCCATCCCACATTTCCTTGACCATCAGAAATTCCTGAAACATCCAAATCTTTGTAGCGACCAGCCGGGTCAAAAACAAGATCGTGAGAGTAGGTATGGTCCCTAAAAACGCTCAGTTTTTGTAAACTTTAAATTCAAACTGTTAATACCTAGGAATTCCCAAAAAGTCGCCCATATTGTCGGCATTTTCCCTAAAGCCGCCGCCGACCAGATAGACGTCGATTCCCTTATTGCGTAGGGTAGTGATCAGGTCGCGAGCTCCGGGGGATGACTGAAATTTGGAATTCATATTTTAAGTTACGTAAGATAGGCTACGCTACGCTACGTTGCGTTTCGATATATTACGCTAAAGTACGTTACGCTACGTTCCGATCCACTACGTTGCGTTACTTAACATTTCGATACACTACGTTACGTTCCGGTCTGGTACGCTACGCTAGGTTCCGGCACGCTACGTTCCGATACACTACGATACGTTCCGTTACGTTGCCTTACGCTACGTTCGGATAGGCTACGTTTCATCACGTTCCGTTACACTACCGTGCGTTGCTTTACGCCCGATAGGCTACGTAACGTCGGGCTTCGAGACGCTACCTTAATTTACGCTCCGATAGGCTACGTTACCTTACGGACCGGTACGCTACGTTACCTTACGCTCCGATAGGCTACGTTACGTACGTTTTACTACACTACGATACGTTCCGATTCGCTAAGTCACGTTATGCTACCATACGTTACGCCACAGTACGTTGCGCTACATCAAGAAACATCACGTTAAAACCTACTTTTTCCTTGATGGTACTGATGTGAAGCTGTAGGAACTCGTTATATTGTTCCCGCGTGAAATTCATAATGCTTAGCCGAAGGCGCATCGAGTCTCTAGAAAATTTTTATCATTTTAAAAGGTTTTAGAAGCTAGGAATTCTAAATTGAGCCAAATCAGTTGAAATTTTTCCACATCAAAGACGGAGCAATAAATTTTCACTCATCGAGACAGACTCATCATTTTTTTGAAACATTGTTAGCTTACTCGGTAGCATCACTCATTAAAAATTTTTTCATTAAATTTTTGATAAATTTATTTTTAAAAAAGCCCGCAATTGGATTTTTTTGTGAATCAAGCCCGTATTTTTTGAAATAATGTTTCATGTTTTCCAATGATTTGCCATTTTCCCTTAAATTTGATAATTTCGTTTTGGACGATATATTATACTTACGCGTGGGTGAACGTCGGTGAAAACGGCATATTCGTGACCTTTTGCACGAAATCACCGACGCCCAGCCAGTTGGCGAATTCCTGTAACAAAATAATGATGTTTATAGATATCTAGAAATTACCAGTAAAATATTATCCTTCCTCAGCGTCTCGTCAATATCAAAGCACACGGCATCCCCGGGCCCCAGCGATTTCCAAATACCCTTTGCCGCGCGTTCCGACCTGAATTTTTTGACCGTAATCATACCTCATTAAAAAAAGTAGTAAATTCTGTTCTGTTTTTAAATAGTATTCTGTTTTTTCAAGGGTTTAAACGATTACGGTAGTCAAAATAAAATTAAATCGCTACGGTTTACTTTATCCCCTCTCCCAGCCGGAATATTTTGGCTATAACTTTGTTATTTTACATTATTGTAGGCTCAAATTAAAACTCGTAGTATATTTTTCGACGTTCTATCGAATTGCGCTGCAAAAATCCCGACAAAATAAGCGAAAATACCGACAACTTTGAGACCCTTTGGCTGTGGGGGGGAGGGGTAAAATAAACTCTTACCGCTCCAGTGATACCTCATTAAAAAGAGCAGTTCTGAACTAGAGGCCGTTTTTTGCAAGGGTTAAAACGATTACGATAGTTAAAAGAAAATGGCAAAGCCTTAACAACATTCGGGAATTTTTTAGGTTCTTCCGTAATACAAGCTGGAAGCACGATGGAGTTTTGAATTTTTTTTTGCCTGTGCTAACCCAAGTGGCTGAATTGTAGCGCTAAAAACACTTATGTCCAACAAATCCCCGAAACGCACATTTTTCTCGATATCCGATTTGGCGGTTCGATGAAGGGGACCGCCAGGGCAACGGCAGATAGAACAAGCAGTAGGAGTAGTTTCCACATCATAGCGTGTAGACGTCTGCAAAAAAATGCGTTTCAAGAGCGTCGGTGCTGAAACACGTGCAACTTGGCCGAATCGATGGAAGTCCAAGATTTCGGATATAAAGAGCGGTATATGAAGAGCTGGTGCTTTCGCATTATCGGGGGGGTAACTTTTTCTAATAATTATCGCTACGATTTTAACTATTCCTAAACCTGAAAAATAAAAATGTACAGGGTGTCCCAAAAAAAAATCGACCCCCCTCTAGCGGACCGCAGAAGCTCGGATTGGAATGATTTTCACACCATTCGAAAGCCCTTCAAACGGTGAGAAAACAAGCGCCTTTGGTTTTCCAAAAAATTTTAGCCTTCGCTCGATATTCAATGATTTCTGTAAAAAGCGTAAAACCAGCATCGCCCTGTTTGCTTTAACAAGCAATTAACATGCCGATTTTGCATAAAATCTGCAGTTTTCATCGATTTTGGCCCTAAATTTTATGAATTAAAATTCCCATATCGAAAAACGAAAAGTGCTTGTTTTCTCGCCTTTTCGAGTGCTTTCGATAGATACCTAAATCGTCAAAATCGGACATGACTGCGGCCCGCTAGAGGGGGTCGATTTTTTTGGGACACCCTGTATATTACAAAATTCAAAAAAAGTTACGCCAAGACGACTAAAAATTTTGTAAGTCCTATTTTTTTGGATCATTTTTCCACTTGAAAAAACCGTTAAATTTCACTGGAAACTATATTAAGTGTACCATATTAATTTACTAGGCATTTCTGGACCAATAGCAACCCCCCCGATAATGGAAAACACCGAAAACCTTTGTTTGAGAGAATTCTTAAATTAAAAAGACCACTGAAGATTTTTGAAAGACTCTTTAGAAGTATCCCGGCTCTTGGGCCCGCAAGCCGTCCATTTTCCGCGCTTTCTGATCCTATAAAAATCCCGGCGATCCGCCCTGTCCCCGCCCAGCTGGAGGCGGATGTTTTTTTCGCCCCCGGTGGATCATGGATATGATCTCTTGTGATGGCCGGAAGGGCACAAGGCATGATGGGGTGATGAGCATGAGCTCTGGCTCGCGCTCTCTCTCTACCTCTCTCGCTCGCTCTCTCGCTCTCTCGAAGTGTTCCATGCGGCCCCCATTTATATCTTTGCAAAAAATGATAGGAAACCCGGGCGTACCGGCATGGATATACCGTCAAAAAAGACCGTTTCGTTGCCGGGGGTGAAAGGGTAGATGTGAACTAATTTTAAACTTAAGAATTTAGTCCGAAACCCTGGCTCTATTAGTAATATCTTGGAAACCCTGCTAGGTCTAATTAACGAAACATCCTTTTTGCATGTCATTTGTCGAAATTAATTTTTCCAAACATAGTTTTCGGTATATAATTAATCGAAATAAATCTAAGTAAAACGGTTTGTCGACATTTCATTTTGTCGACATTTCAATACGCGGAGCGTTCGACCTGCGAGTTGTTTTGGCAGAACAAATGTTACTAAAAAGGTATTGAAATTTCGACAAAATGTAATTTCGACAAGATGAAAGCAGGAGCGTTAATTTGCCCTTAAAAAAAAGATGTTTTCCATTTTTACGACTTTTATTGAATCCCAATACCTTTAATATCGCTACTCCGAACAGGGAAAAAATCCAACCAAATTCCATCCTCGCATACACGAATTTTGAGTTCTCAACCTCTTTAAAGAGGAATTGTTGAGATTGTTTTTGATAAATTTGCTTATAAATTTCTCAATTTCTTATAAAAAATTAGCCAACAATGCTCCCCGCTTGCCCACGCAAATGTGCATAAAAAGGGTGACCCACCCCAGGCAAAGCTGCAACATACTGATAAGAGGCAAAAAAGGCCGGCAGATCGATTATTCCACCACTCCCGGCCACGCTAAACAACACCCAAAAATCGGCCGCGTATTTTCTTACAACATCCTGCAATTTTGAAACTTAAAATTTTTTCTCTGATTTTCTGCATTCTCCGGAACCTCCAAAAATCCTGCAACATGGCCGAACCGGAAGAGCTGGATTTGGACTCGACAATCGAGCTGGTCGACACGCCAAACTCTGAAAAAACTCCGGAACCACGGGGAGATCGGGTACCACATCCGGAACATCCGGAAAGCACGGAAAACCCGGAAAATTTGGGCGTGATCGATTACGCCCTGAATTTGGGAGCCGCGGCTCGGACGCCGACATTAATGAGGGGTCAGTTTGCGCCGGAAGGTTCCGGAATGTCCGGTGAGTTGCAGCGCCCTCCCGAAGGTGCCGGAAAGTCGAAGAAAACGAGGAAATCGAAGAAGGCGAAAAATTCAGGAGGTGCCGAACGTCATCAGGAAACGTCCGGAATGCCCGGAAAGATTCAGGAAAATCTCGAAAATTCCGATAATTTGCATACTTCTGCTAATTCTACCGTAACAGCTTCAGAGCGTCATCAGGAACAGTCCGGAACCCCCGGAAAAATACCGACAAACTCGGAAAATGTCGAAAATTCACGAAGTTCCGATAATTCCGCGCAATTCGATTCCGGCTATACAAATTCTACCCTCCAAAAGCCCAAAACCCTCCAAGATTTACATGGCGTAATCGAAGAGACGCCAGTGTCGCGGCGGCCTAAAGATCTGAAAATCAGATACTACGTGGCTTTGGATGGGGACGATATCTCACCGACCTCCGAAATTATCGACCATGCCGGGGATGCGGTGGTGGTGATGCGCACTCCGCTGCACACCCCACAACACCTACAGTACGACGGGAGCGCCGTGTGCAGCGAGAAGACGCCCGGAAACGAGATTTCGGGCATCGATATTCGCTTTAGGCAGCTGAAAGGTAGCAGGGTCCATGCAAACTGGGTTTCAAGAGTTTTGAAAAAATGGGTTTCAACATTTTCCATTGTTGCTTGGACCGGCATTTCATTACTGAATTTTTTTCAATATGTTTCTAATTTTTCTTAATTTTATTATTTATTTATTTTGAGAAACGTGTAATTATTTCCTCCTCTCCCTACTAAACTAAACAACTGAGTAGACCATTAAAAGAGCAAAAATTAAAAATTCAATTTTCATTCCAAAAAATGTTTTTTAATTTTCCTATATCAAAGTCAGGAATGTTTTATTAATGACGTGCGTACAGAAGCGGTATCATGCCGAAACCTAAAAGATACCAAAAATTTGAAATCGAATTTGGCTACTTTCGAAAAAAGGTGTTTTAAAAGTTTCCATTTTCCTTGTCAAACTGCCGTAGATCAATCTTGTTTTTAGCAGAGTGATTGCATTTTGGGCTTTTGATAAATGTTTTATTAATTTAGCATAGATTTGATTTTAAAAAAAATGTTTCATCATACCGAATTGATGAATCAAGGCATTGTTATATCAATTTGTATTTGGCCGACAGTAACGTATTTGGCTTAAAAAAAATCAATAAAAGTGCCAAATTAATAAAGAAAAAGCTTAGATTTATTTGTATCGATTTTCAGACGAGCGTGAAAACGTGCAAAAGAAGACGTTCACCAAATGGGTCAACTCGCATCTCATCCGTGTCAACTGCAAAGTTCAGGTCGGCCCGCTTTCTATACGAATTACTTAGAAAATTGATTTCTATTTTGTGTATTTAATTTCAAAATATTTTCAGGCGATTTAACGTCTGCAAGCTGGAATCATATTAAAAATTACCTCTTGTAATCTATTATAGAGTTCCAAATTTTCTGTGGCGATTAATACCGATTCGGATTATATGGCATTTTGAATTTCAACCCTGCCTTTGCTGTATCAATTAGATTGTAGTTTCGGAGGCTACGTTTTACTTAAAGTTAAAAGTCAAAACTGGCGCTAAATAGTTGTAAATTAAAAATGAATCTCGAATTCGTCCGTTTTTAGTTTTACAAAATCAATTTGTACATTCTAAATATTAAATAGACAGCCGCTTTAGAGCGCCCCAACCTGCTTTAAAAACACGAAAAATGGCTCTCGGAATTGCGAAAAAATGTTTCGTATCAATTAGTCATCCCAAATTTTTTTTGTTGGCTTTAATAACGTGAGCTTTCGTGCTTTTAAAGTTCACCGAGAAGTCACCGGTTTTTTTAGTTTTATAATTTGATTTTTTATCTTCTCAGTATCAAATTGGCAGTGATGTTTTTAAGGCTGCCATATAAAAAGCACTTCATGCTAAATAAAAAAGCAGAAATTCTGCAACAACGAACAAATGTTTCGTATCAATTGGTCATTTCGATATTTTTATGGCTGTAATGATCTCCAAATAGCGGTTTCCATTCATTTTATGTTCATTCTACGAAATTTTTAGTAACATCAACATCAGTATCAAGCCTTAAAAATTCTTAAATTACCGAAAAATGTTTCAGAAAAATTTCTAATTACGAAATTTTTTATGGCAGTAGTTGAAGCATTTCAATTCATAATACTTTATTATAACTACTGTGATTAACCAAATTATCGAGTTTGCAAATTAAATTGATAGATTCCTATAAACTAATTATATTAAACACGCAAATATTTCCAGGATCTGTACGCAGACATGCGGGACGGCAAGAATCTGCTGCGCCTGCTGGAAGTGCTGTCCGGGGAACGCCTGGTAGGCTGTTTTACGAGTTTGAATTTTTGTAATTGAACGTCGAAGCGGTAGTTAATTGGGAGCTTAAATAATATCCGGCTTACCGGGGTTTTTGAAACATTCTTTTAGCCGGTCAGAAAAATTTTTAGGTTATTTGTGTAAGATAAAATCGATCGACACAATAAGCGCCCAACTACTGCGATTCCTGTAACATCGATGTTCGAAAACAAAAAATTTCTAAACAAAATTTTAAGAAATACTCTAATAGCTATTTTAAAAGCAATTTTTAAAGCTAAAGGTATTGGATTTAAACCCTATTTTTAATCTTTTAAAAGCAATATGACAAGTATTGTCAAGCTTTTTTGAAACATTATGTTCCATAAATCAGTTAAGTCGCAAAACTTTTTTGGATGTTATATATGATAATGCCTAGATTCACATATTAGTTACAGCCGATAATTCCACCAATTTTCAGCCGAAGCCGACCCGCGGAAAAATGCGCATCCATTGTCTGGAGAATGTGGACAAGGGCCTGCAGTTTTTGAGGTTTGTTCTTAGATTTATAAATTATTAAATTTTGTAAATTAAATGCTTCGGGCTGTTTTCATAATACTATAAAGATTTAAAATAATATAAAAATGGCATTAAAATGGTGGAGAATCGTACAAAAGGTTTTGGAATATTGTTTGGAAAAATGATGTTTCGTCAAAAATTAATCACTTGAATATTTTTTAAGTAAGCAATATTTTACGATTTCTAACTTGCATTTATTTAAATAGTTTAAATAAATATAATACTACTACTGGGTTTAAACGCCCGATTTTTTTCAGAGATCAGCACGTGCACCTCGAAAATCTGGGTTCCCACGACATCGTCGACGGGAACCCGAGACTTACCCTCGGTCTCATCTGGACCATCATCTTGCGCTTCCAGGTAATTTTTAGATTAATATAAACAAGACGGAAATGATTACTGTACAGCAAAATTCTTGAAAAAATATTTTTCAAAAATTTGGCAAAATCTAAAGTTTTTGCGCTTAATTGCTGACTCCTTCGATTCTAGTAATAAAATTGGAGCGCATTATAGAGACGTTTTACGCAAATTAATAGCGTTTTTCTAGTAAAATTATTAAATACTTACTGAATAAATTCGACTGTTTTTCTTACGGACTTTGCAGAATTAGTTTTTTAAAAACGTGTTTCATAAATTTTCGATTCTGGTAGTTTCTTTAGCAGCCTAATTCGCCCTGAGCATTTGCGATTTTTTTATCATTTGCTTAATTATCAGTTACCTTAGTTATTAGTTTGCTCAAGTTATTACCATGCAATTCAGCTTTACCGCTTAGACAAAAAATTTAAGAAAATAAATGTTTCAGCGATCCATAAAAAGTTATGTTTGCAGTTTTACTAGCAATAGGATTTTCATTTCTAATTTCTCAGTTAGCAAAAAAATCTTTAAAAAATTCGTGTTTCACAAAAGTTCCTAATCAGCGGACTTTCAAAAACATTAATCAACTTTGAGACTTCTTCAAAAATTATTCTTCTTTCAATTAGACAAATATAATTAAATCCTTTCAAAAAATATCTGCGCCATCTAAATACATTTTTATGGCTTCATTTTCATCTTAGGCCTTTAAAATCACATATTTTCTCTTTAGATCCAAGACATCACGTTCGAAGATGCGGACAACCACGAGACACGCTCCGCCAAGGAGGCACTTCTGCTGTGGTGCCAGATGAAGACGGCTGGATACCCCAATGTCAACGTTCGCAATTTTACCACCAGGTGGGCAGGCTGGCAGAGATAATTGAGGAGAGAGGGCATGCTGGCAGATAACATTGGGGAGTGACAGGGCAGGCTAGCAGAGACCATTTGGGAGAAAGAAGGCCGGTTAGCAGAGATCATTGAGGAAAGAGGGCAAGCTAGCAGAGACCTTGGAGGTAGGAGAAGGCAGGCTGGCAAGGATCATTGAGGAAAGAGGGGCTGGCTAGCATACACCATTTTGGAAAAATAGCGAGAAATAGCTTTTACAAGAAACTCGAACAGTATGACTCGTAACTTTTCGCAAGTTAGTTGATAGTTTGAAACGCGCTTTTCTGCCGGCAAAATCAAAATAATTTTTAATAGCATTTTTTATGTTAATTTAATTATTTGGCTTAATCAACAAGTTTTGCTTACAATAAAAAAGTTTATGCCAAGCGAAAAAAAGAAACCCCGAATTTTTCAGTTGGCGCGACGGTCTGGCCTTCAACGCCCTCATTCACAAGCACCGCGCCGACCTGATCGAGTACGACCAGCTGCAAAAGTCGAACGCCCTCTACAATTTGGGCAACGCGTTCGACGTGGCTGAGCAGCAGCTCGGCCTCAACAAGTTCCTCGACCCGGAAGGTATGCCAGAATTTTATGTTTTTAAATTGACGAAAATCCTTGAAAAACCGTTTTTGTCTATAAAAATCGTGTTTCATCAAATGGGATCGTGTTGAGTTTCCGGGTCATTGCAGTTACAATACATGTTGTACATGTTAAAATACATGTTAAAATACATGTTGTTGTCAAAAATAACAAACACTATGTAAAAAAGGTTGACATTATGAAAATTCGAATTCTGAAAATTTGAACTTAAAACTTAAACAACTTGAAACTCTATGCGAAAAAATCCAAAATTAAATAGCTCTATCGCAACATGGAAATTTAGCGACATAACGGCTATTAAAAAATGAAAAAAAGTGTTTTAGAATTGCTTAGAGCCATAAAGTTCACTAATTTGCCAATTCAGCCTCGTTGTACACATGCGCGAAACCTTATAGGCAGCAATTTCGAAAGTTTCAAGAATAAAGTTCTTGCGTAAATAAAAAAAACTTGCGGTTTTAAAAATAGAAAAATATAGACCTATGGCTTGTTCTATCCGCTTTGCATCGGGAAAACCTGGGAACGTTCGATTCACGGCGCGCGTAAAACAACAAAAATATGGTTAAAGGGTAGCGTGACTTTTGACGGAGCTCTTCCTTTTAACCCGCATGTACGAATTCAGTTTTTTAAAATAGCGAAAATCTGATGAATCAGTCAAGAGCGCATTGGCGTCAGTGTTTCAAATGTGTTCTTCGTTTTATGAAACATATAATTTTTGGTTTTGCAAAAGTCGATTTTAGACGTGAACGTGGACGTGCCCGACGAGAAGTCGATCATCACCTACGTCGTCACCTACTACCACTATTTCAACAAGATGAAGCAGGAGACCATCCAGGTCTTTTTATAGTCACTTCGTTATCTATCGAGCACTTTGGCCTTGAAAATATGTTTCAAAAATTGCTAAAATGATCGAATTTTTCGGAGATATTAATGTGGCCCGTATTAAGATTTCGCAAATTCGTCCTATTCATTTGAATTCATACGAATTCGCGAACATGCCAAAAGCACAATTTTCGTTCTTACATGGCCAAAAACTAGAAAAAAGATCAATTATGGTTGTTCGGCAAAATGTTTCAAATATTTTCAAAATCCATGAATTTTTCGGGTGATGAGTGACTGATGAACCGGCATGGTCGAATAAATTTTCAATTTTAAAATGGGGCTTTTCTTCTCAAGAGATGATTCTATAAATAAGACATTCTTTGTTCAACTACATTAAATTTTCCGACGAGTTCTACCTTCCCTGACACGACAATTTATGGAAAAATGTTTCAAACAACGACAATCTTGGCGATTTTTGTTGAAGGCTATTTCGGAGATAGTATCCTTGAAATATAAATAATAATTTAAAGTTAAAAGATAAAACTTATATTTACTTTTTGCCAATTTCCGCTTTTCTCGCCACGGAATATGGATGGAAAAAATGTTCCAAAAATCTGAAACTGAGAGATTTTAGAGGTGGTTAGTGGAGCAATGAACGATTCAGCGTCCCATAAAAATTACTTTTAAGATAATAATACGAAAAATTTAACTTACAAAAATTTCAATTCAATGAAAAATTACTTGAAATTTCATAGCTTTCGTTTTAATTCACTCGTTTTTAGGGCAAACGTATCGGAAAGGTGGTGAACGAGCTGCTGGAGAACGAGAAGATGATCAACAAGTACCAGCTGGACAGCAACGACCTTCTCGAATGGATCCAGCGAAAAATCGCCGAGCTGAACGACCGAAACTTTGCCAACCATCTTGAAGGCGTTCAGGATCAACTGACCGAATTCAACACATACCGTACCACCGAGAAACCGCCGAGATTTGATGCGAAGGGGGGATTGGAGGTGTGAGAGAGAGCGAGAGAGAGAGAGAGAGAGAGAGAGAGAGAGAGAGAGAGCGAGAAGGTGGAGATAGAGAGAGAGAGCGAGAGAGAGAGAGTGAGAGAGAGAGAGAAAGAGAGAGAGAGAGAGAGAGAGAGAGAGATAGAAAGAGAGAGAGAGAGCGAGAAGGTGGAGAGAGAGAGAGAGGGAGAGAGACTGAGCGAGCCAGAGAGCGAGAGAGAGCGAGAGAGAGAATCAGATGCTCTAAAATCTAACTTTTTGCAAATTTTTTCAACATATGGAATCTTTTTCAGGTGCTCATGTTCGCGCTCCAATCGGCGATGCGGGCCAACAACCAGCGCGCATTCCAGCCGAGGGAAGGCCGAAAATTGGCTGACATCAACAAGGCTTGGGAGAATCTCGAAAAGGCTGAGCACGAGCGGGAACTTGCGCTCAAGGAAGAGATCATCAGACAGGAGAAGCTGGAGCAGCTGGCTGCCCGCTTCAACAGGAAGGCCGCGATGAGGGAGACGTGGTTGACGGAGAACCAGAGACTCGTCAGCCAGGACAACTTTGGAAATGACTTGGCTTCCGTTGAGGTAAGCTGCGGTGCTTTTTGGGGCAATTTAGGCCCGGGAGGCTAGCAGAGATTGTTTGAGGAAATGGACGGACCACGAGAGGAGGGCAGGCTAGCAGAGATTGGAGGAGGAAATGGACGGACCCCGAGAGGAGGGCAGGCTAGCAGAGATTGGAGGAGGAAATGGACGGACCCCGAGAGGAGGGCAAGCTAGCAGAGATTGGAGGAGGAAATGGACGGACCCCGAGAGGAGGGCAGGCTAGCAGAGATTGGAGGAGGAAATGGACGGACCACGAGAGGAGGGCAGGCTAGCAGAGATTGGAGGAGGAAATGGACGGACCCCCGAGAGGAGGAGCAGGCTAGCAGAGATTGGAGGAGGAAATGGACGGACCCCGAGAGGAGGGCAGGCTAGCAGAGATTGGAGGAGGAAATGGACGGACCCCGAGAGGAGGGCAGGCTAGCAGAGATTGGAGGAGGAAATGGACGGACCCCGAGAGGAGGGCAGGCTAGCAGAGATTGGAGGAGGAAATGGACGGACCCCGAGAGGAGGGCAGGCTAGCAGAGATTGGAGGAGGAAATGGACGGACCCCGAGAGGAGGGCTAGCAGAGACAATTTATTCATTTCCAGGCTGCCACCAAGAAACACGAGGCGATCGAGACGGACATCTACGCCTATGAGGAACGCGTGCAGGCCGTTATCGCTGTTGCCGGTAATTTTTGAAGGATGTGGAAAAACTGTGATTTAAAAATTTACTGGATTCATGGCTCGAAAGGCACGTTAATTAATGCTGGATATTGGTTGATTCAAAATTTTTTCAAATTTCAATGTTTTGAGTCTAAAGAATTAAGTCTGATTTGCTTCCAGGCGAGCTCGAGATGGAGAACTACCACAAAATCGACGAGATCACCGAGCGGAAGGATAACGTTCTGCGACTGTGGAATCGACTGGTTCAGGTGGGTAGAAATAATCGGAGCGGTATTATTAGTTCAATTCTGGAGGATAGCAGTAACAAAAGCGAAACTTCTTTTTCGACAGAGTTTGGAAACGCTCGAAAATTGCAAATTACAGTTTAAGAAACAATATGGCAAATTAAACCGATTCTTCATTTAAGCTAGGCGCAGAACCGTGTAAAGGTTTTTTCGGTGAAATCATGATTTAATTTTAATGCATGGGAAATTTGCAAGGACGGATTCACTAATCAATCCATTCTGGGAACGCATGGTAAATCAAATGAAACATATCTACTTTTCGGTACCCACAAAACCTAAATAAAAATGTTTTCCTAACCTGCTCTGCTGCTAACTCTGGTTTCAAAACTGAGATTAAATCCACAATAATTTAAATTTATATTAAAAAATTAAACGAAAAAATCAAAATATATGGCGTAACCTAAAATCAGGTCTTGAATAACCAGTTGTCTATAAATAAAGAAGAAACACTTTTTTAGTCATCGGCTAAACATACAAATTTTATTAGTTCACTTGCTTTGAATACAGTTTCTGAAAAGAGCAAAACCTTAGTTAAAATAATAATAATAAAATCTGATTAGGTAGGAATTTAATCGTTATCTGAATCATTTTTCACGATCATTTATTTACAAGGAGAATTGCGTAAATCGTACAATCTTTTGTTCTAAACCTGTGAAAAATGCAAACGCAAAACCGCTTTTTTCAGGCATTTGCTTACGACACAGTAATTAAGTAACGACGAAATTGCCCATCTAGGCTATTTGCCAAAACATATTTTTTAACACGTTTTTGTCTAGGAGCTGAGTTTGAAGCTAATGAATATCAATAAAATATTTTTCAGCTGCTACTGGCCCGTCGTGTCCGCCTGGAATTGTCGATGGGAATCCAGAACGTGTTCCACGACATGCTGCTAACGTTGGACCTGATGGACGAGACGAAGACCCGCCTCCTTTCCGACGATCTTGGAGGACATTTGATGGGAGTCGAGGAGTTGTTGCAGGTCAGTTAAATTTTTTTTGAACTGCTTTTCCAAAAAAACGTCTTTAACAAAAGTAAAAATAACCATTTTGAATCAGTGAATCGTGCTTTGAAATACTATGTTTCGTGAACCGTCCAAAAAAGTGCTTCCAGATCTGCCATGATTGTATAACCCTAGCAGAATTTAATAAAAATTAAATTTGTTAATTTACTCCGAGAAAATCGGCTTTAGATCAAACCATTTTTAACCTTTCGCTGAAAACGTCCAAATCTTCTAAAATTTCGTGTTTCAAAAAAGTTCTGTACTACGATCGGTTTTTTCGTGGTAATAGACCGCACTGTATGCAGCAATTATTGATTTTTTCAGAAGCATAAACTGTCCGAGAGCGAGCTGCGCACCATCGGCGAACGCGTCGACAACGCCTGTGAAGGTGGGCTGTTTTTATCGATATTAGTTGAATATAGTTTTTTATTAAAACCAAAAAATCTAGGATTTTGGGAAAGAAGTCTTCAGATCATTAAAATTCACAGAGTTTCTGGGTTATCAATTCTTGGTGAAGCTTCAACCTCCAGCTCAGTGTTAATTCTTAGTGGGAAAAATCACCGATGACCAATATTCGGAGAAACATATTTTTAATGCCTAGATTCAACTTCAGTAAATCGGTTTAGTAAAGCTTTTGGTTTTACTTTAAAATTCGATAGTACGCAAGTTTGAACAGTTTTTTACGGCCAAAGAAAGGTAAAACCAAGCCCTGCAAAAATTACGATTAATTCTTTTTATTTAACCTATTTTTGATGCTATTTCTGAGTTTAGTGAACTGGCTGGATCCCTATTTAGTTTAAAAAAATTCGATTGGTTTAATTACGGCAAATGTTTTCGTTCAATTAAGGCCCCACAAAAAATTGCGGATAACGAATCTGTGTTGAAACATATACTTGCGGATTAAATTAAGTACTTTTTCTAGTACTTCGATTGTTTAAGTTTTCGGATTTAATTTGACACCCCCGATAATACGAAATGTTGGTTCTATTTTTTGGTACCAGACTCGTAACTTGATTAATTACTTAGAAAACCATGGATTACTCATTTTCGATAAAACATTCTTCTTTTAGCCGCCCAACGCTTCCGGGACCCGAACGGACCGGATGGCTCCGGATATAAACCGGTTGAGCCGGAAGTGGTCGACGAGCGCATCAAAATCCTCCGCGATCGCTACCAAGAGCTGCAAGATTTGGCCGGGCAGAGACGGCGTCGCCTCGACGACAACAAGAAACTCTGCCAATTCTGGTGGGACCTCGCCGAGCTCGAGCAGAACTTCCGCGAGCAGGAACAGGTCAGTAAGCCCCAGCAAAAATTAATTAAACTTAAATTTAATTAATTAAAACATTCTCAAAATTTTACCTCATTTTTGCGGAACCATTAGTCGGGACCAATTGGGATCAAATATAAACATAGAACTTGGAAAATTGATGAAACATTAAAAAGTGGAGATCCTCGAAATCTCACATTTTTTTGCGAAATTGTTTAAGGTAAGTTAGTGTCAGCCCCTGATGCCTTAATTTTTTTGAAAAGCGTGGGTGCTACGCATCAATTCCGTATTCTAAAATTAATGCCGTTTTTCGGAAAAATTCAAAGATTAAGTCCGAAATAAGACAGAATCTGAAAGTTAGCATAAAAATGGTCGCAAGAAAAATCTGGTACTAGGCTGTTAGCGAGGGGGGCAAGGCAATTTTATCCGCTTATCGATAATATAGGATATAGCGTGTTTTATCGCGTCTAAGTAGTTTTTAATTGCTAGAAGGTTAGTCAAGGCTTTAAAAATTCGGAAATTTTGACTTTGTTTGATTTTGAAAATGTTTGAGGTATTTTTTATCTTCGTTATGGAGTTGTACAAAATTATTCATCAAAAAAATTGGCTTTCCCCCGCTAATAGACCAGCAGCACAAAAAGATCTACTATCCCTTTAACCAGGGATCCAACCCTTGAGGGCGGTGCACCATATCAATTTCTTTTTAGGTCCTCGGAAGCACGGACACTGGAAGGGATATCGTTACCGTATCCCATCTCCTCGCCATCCACAAAAATGCCGAGAACAATTTGGAGGACCTCGGAAAGGCGCTGGGAGAATTGGAAGGACAGGGCGACGATCTGCAACGCCAACAAATCCCTGGGGCCGAGAATATCCCTCCAAGATTGGCCGATGCCCGCGAGTACTACGATCGCCTTAAAGGTACGGTCGTTAACGATTTGTTCTTGTTATGTAATTTTTCATATTCAAAAACTTCATTAAATCCCAAGTTTCCCAAAGGCCGGATTTTAAAAATATTTTATGGCTTGAAAAAATGTTTCATATATGCTCTTAATTTGTCAATTTTGATTTGGGACTAATCTTGATGTGATGTGGTTTTTGGCAAAAATAAAATTATGTTTTAAATAATTCTATCATAGAATTTAAAATTCCTAAAATGGCCAGTATTACCGGGCAAAAAATAGCCGTTTCAAGTTTTCTCTCTAACGAAAAATTTTTCAATCCGATAATTATTGAAGTAAGCTCAATTCAAGTAAAATTTCAATCAATAGGGAATTAAAAATTGATTTTAAATCAGAACAATAAAAATGCCAATATCAATATTGTTTCATAAAATATTTATTGCTAAATTTTAGCGATGAGCTTTCATTTTAAGATGCTTTTTCCAAAGGCTGCGAAATAATCTATGTTTCAAATTTTGCCAATTAATGAAAAATCTTTTGGCCGGTCAATACACTGAGATTGATCGAGGAAGAAAAATGGATTTTACAGGCCATCTCAGCAAATTAAAAAATGCATTTAAATCTTTCATTAAAACTGGATCTAAAACTTTCCAAAACTTAACATGCAGCGAAAAAATTCGTTGTTTCAAATAATTCCATTTACATAAAAATTCTGGTGATTAATTAGTCCTTGTGGAATATCCATAAGAAAAACTTATGAACCGCGTCTTAGAAATTGAAGTGTTTCTTTTGATTTAAACGTTTTATTGAATCATGAATAAATGTAGCATTTAAAATTCAGTTTTTCAATTACAATTGAAGTTTTTTATGGTTTAAAATCTAAAAATGCCCTTGCAGAGCTTGCCGCGGCTCGTCGTCAACGTCTCACCGGAGGTGTCGACTACTACCAATTTTTCACCGATGCTGATGACGTTGATGCTCATCTACTGGATACCCTTCGAGTGGTGTCTTCGGATGACGTTGGCAGAGATGAATCCACCGCCAAGCTGCTCCTCCAAAAACACGACACTGTCGACCGCGACCTCGACAAGTTCGACGAGCACATCAAGCAGCTGCACGAGAAGGTAGAAAATTCAATTTAATCAAAAACCATTAAAATATTTATACAATTATCATAATCTATAAAAATCAATAAAATGATAAGAAAATCGTTCAAAAACAATATTCCCGTATGGATTTTTTCAATACCAAAAATTTAAAAGTTTCATATTTTTCCAAATAAAGTTTCGAAAAACTAGACAGTAATGGTTTTTACAAATTACAACACTTTAGAAATTCCCAATTAAAATAGGTATTAGATAAAAATTTAAGAATGCAAAATGTTCCGTATTTTTTGGTATTAATTTTTCAACAAAATTTAATTTTGCAAAAAGGCGCAATTTTGTTAAAAAAAATCGGGATTTTTAGCCGTAAAATCGACATTTTTGTTGATTTATAATCAACTTTTTTAAAGTTTTCACGCTTCCACTATTTGTATTTAACCAAAAAAAATAAAATAAAAATTATAAATTTTTTTTCAGGCCGAAGCCCTGCCCGTGGAGGCGCGCGAGCATCCGGATATCCGCACCCGACTCGACACGACGCTCCGCAGAAAGGCCGAGCTCGAAGCGTTGGCCCAACTGCGGCGTCAGCGTCTCATCGATGCCCTGTCCCTCTACAAATTGTATGCTGATGCCGACTCGGTTGAGGCGTGGATTGACGAGAAGGGAAAACTCCTTGCCACCCTGGTCCCGGGCCAAGACCTCGAAGAAGTCGAAATTATGCGCCACCGATTCGACACCCTCGAGCATGACATGCGCAACCAGGAGCAAAAGGTCGGCTTGCTTTACTGTTCGAAAGCTGGAAAAATTAACCGAATTTTTATATGCAAGTTAGTTAATTCTAAAATTCTTAATTTTGATGAATTTTTGAAACATATTTTTCACTCGCGTAAATTTACAAACCATCAAAAAATTTGCTAACGCTTTTGATCGTTAAAAAATATTTGATTTCAAAGTTCTTACTTTTTATAAATTCTTGAAACACATTTTCTGCCTCGCTTTAACTTGCATAAATTGGAGGACCAGCTTGCGTTTTGATTGGCGCATTAATGAACTCTACATTTTTAAATTTTACGTTTTTGTTTTTTGAAACCTATTTTTGAAGTTCGCTGTGTCTTACAGAATTGTAGAAATTGGCTGATATCTGAAATCCGAAATAATTAATTCTAAAATTCTTATTTTTTAGGAATTTTTTAAACATGTTTTTAAGCTGGCTGAATTTACAAAAAATGAAAAAATTTGGTTTTTTTAGGATCATCTGTGACTGATGAATTTGAAAATTGTGATATTTTATAAACCTTTTAAAAACATTTTTTTAAAGCTGGGTTTTGTGCAAATACGTTAGTTGAAGAAAAATGTTGGCATGTTTCGCGAATTAGCGCTTAAAAAATGTTTCAAAACAATACTCGATAAATCGTGACACCGCGTCCGTTAGTGCGCGGAAGATCATCCTACTATATAAGTAAGTCTATTAAGTTAAGGGCACGTATGATACGTCATTAGGTGCGTAATGGTCATGACACGACTGCACGCATATGAGATTTTTCAAAATCAGCTGTTTTCGACATTAAAAATAGATTTTTGTGAAAATCGCGCTCGGCCTCTTTGTTAGGAATCAATTTTCATGCACCGGAAGGGAGAGAGCCTATATAATGGGGCAGAGGACGCGCTTTTCATTTTTCTGCACAGAGATGCAGGTGTTTATGCAAACTGGTGAAGCATCGGGTTAGGCGGGGCCAGGGTTGAAAAGTCGCGAAGCGGCTTTTCAACCCTGGTTAAGACTAGTAAAACAAGCTTCTTCGGGGTTTAAACAATACTTTAAATCAGCCTTTAATAATTCGAGCCCATTCTTTAAAAATACTCAATCTTCAGGTGGGAACGGTGAACGAGCTTGCCCGTCAACTGCTCCATGTCGAGCACCCGAACTCGGATGAGATTCTCCTCCGTCAGAATCGCCTCAACGCTCGCTGGGCCCAGCTCCGGGATATGGTACGTTTTTTTTTCACAAGTTTTGGATTTTAAGGGGGTTGGAAACGAAGGATCCCAGTGTTTGGCAATGGATTTTACATTGCAACGGTGATCCATTAAGCGCAAATTGATCGCGCGTTATCGGCTGCTAAATGAAACACCTTTTTTCCAAATGATTTACCAACTTTTCCCAAGTAATCACGTCCGGCCCAATAACAAAAAATAACTTATTTTACAGCACTTTACACAGTTTTTTTGGTATAAAAACTCATTAAAAAAAATTATAAATTTTTTCAAATTTTTGACTTTTTGGCCGAAAATGTGTGAAAAAGAACAAAAAAGTCCGGAATTGCGAATTTTTTAATTTTATTTTTTCTACTTTTGCTTTTTTAATTTTGTTTTACTTTCCAGTGATCAAACACCACTAAAAGTTATCCTAGTTTCTACTCATTATCGTGGATTTTATCTTGAATTTTGGATCTAAAAGGGGTCGGAATTAAAACAGCACCCGGCGCGCGGGACTTGTCAGAGTTTGAAACAAACTTTTTTTGGAAAAATCAGCTAAACAGTTTGCCTTTAATTCTAATGTCTATCAATATTGTTTTTGAATCCATAAATCAGCGGCTTTTTGCGTTTGTTAAAACACCATCGCAATCCTCTTTTCAGGTCGACCAAAAGCGCGCCGAACTCGAGAAGGCGCACCGCTTGGAGACGTTCCGCATCGACTGCCAGGAGACGGTCACCTGGATCGAGGATAAGACACGAATTCTCGATGATTCCGATACCCTCACCAACGATTTGTCGGGTACGTTAGGATTTTGTTAGACGAAAAATTACTCCACAGAATTGGCAATTAAAAAGCTAGCGAAATTTGGATAAATTTGAAACGTATTTTCTTTGAAAAAGTGTCGAGAGCTAATTTTTTTACTGGCGTGCTGATCGGCATGTTTCAAAAAACAAACCACATTAAAAATAAGGACTTACCCCATTTGCGAATGATTTCCAATTGGTACTATTCTGTCAGCGGGGGAAGGGGGGTTAGCGGATGGGAGAAATTATTCCCGCACCTCGCCATGGAGAAAAATAAATTATTTTTAGCGCGTTTTGAACAGTTTTTCCAATATAAAATCATAAAAGTTCCGACAACTTTTATTTTTTTTAATCAAAAATAGTTGAAAAATAACCAAAAAAAAGCTCAAAAATTGTTCAGATGTTTTCTGTAAATTCTTAGCAATCAAAAACTATTAAAAATACTATAAACTTCCAGCATGAAACCGTAATGAAGTTCCTTTCGAAATATCGAAAAACGACATGTAAAATTCATAATGGCGAAATTCGTATTGTCGAAATTTGATAATGACGAAATGTCAATTTTTAATGTATTTAATTTTAATTTTTAATACTAATTTTTTTGTTGAAATTTAACATACGCAAATCTCCCGCTAAAAACCCAAATCCTATGCAAAAAAAAAATCAGGATTGAAATTTCGACGCGAATTTGACCTGATGAATTTAAATATTTTGAATTTCGACATTCTGAATTTCGAAATTACGATTTTCGGCATTTCGAAAGAAACCCTAAACCTTTTTAGGCGTGATGAAGCTGCAGCGGCGTCTCTCGCTGATGGAGCGTGACCTCGGCGCGATCCAGGCCAAACTCGACGCCCTCCACAAAGAAGCCGACGAGATCCAGAGGGAAAAGCCGGAAGAGGCGATGGCCATTCGAGACGATATCAAACGTATCCACCAAGTCTGGGATCTGCTCAACCGGAAAGTGCGCGAGCACCAGGAGAAGCTCGATGAAGCCGGCGATCTGCAGAGGTTCCTCAGGGATCTCGACCATTTCCAGGTAAAGATGTCACTCGAAATGCCTTAAAAATTAGTATATTTTATTTTATTAATTTAATTTATGGTAATTTTATTACGCTATCAAAATATAATTTTTCTGTAATTTCCAGGCAAAAATAAGCCTTTACGACGTTGAAAATGAATCAAATAATTTTACAACGATATTAAATACACTTTTTCTCTCGTTTCCAGGTAAAAATGTAATATAATTACCTTAAAAATTGGTATATTTTATTTATTTTATCACGGTATTAAATATACTTTTTTACCCATTTCCAGGTAAAAATATAACTCTAGACACCCTATAAATTAGCATAATTTACTTACTTTTATGACGGCTTCGGCGTAAATATGGTTTTTACACATATCCAGGCAAAAAATAACACTCTGCTTAAATCCGTTAAAAATGAGCAATTTACTGAGTTTTATTACTAAATTAAAATCCAAATTTAATGTTTTTAGTCAAGAAATTTTCACTAATACTTACCTTGAAAATTTGGTGAGTGTCAGTATCGCATTAAACATGCTTTTTTTTGCCTATTGCCAGGTGAGGATTGCTAAACAATCAGTATTTTAATATTATTTTTCTCGATAATTCAAATGCAACATTAAAAGACAAGCGTTAAGAATGAAATTGTTGGAATTGATCGATTATCCTGGATTTTCTAGCTATATTTAATATATTAATTTTTTAACCAATGTTTTTATTGTTGTAACAAGGGAAAATTGATGTATTGCTTCGAGCATCTATTAATGATAAAAGGAGCCTTGGGTTTTTGACAATTTCTGAAACATCAATTTGCAAAATCAAATCTACAAATCTGGCTGTGGCTTTGATCTTGGATTGTCACTGCTAATTTGCACCTACCTTTTAAAAACGAAATTTTAATAATTATGATTTCTTTAATTTCTTTAGGAGGTGATTTTTATTACATATATTACATATATATTACATTAATTTTCAAAAAATGGGGAAATTCTAATCGATTAAATTCCAGGCGTGGCTCACCGCCACGCAACGCGCCGTCGCCTCGGAAGACGAGCCGAACTCGCTGGGGGAGGCCGAGGTGTTGCTCGAGCAGCACAACGCCATCCGCACCGAGATCGACGGCTACGCGGAGGACTACCGGAAGATGAGGGCGATGGGCGATCGAGTGACCCAAGACCAAACGGATCCCCAGTACATGTTCCTGCGGCAACGATTGGCCGGACTGCAGGAGGGATGGGAAGAGCTGCAGCGGATGTGGGACAATAGGCTCGATCTCCTCTCACAGGGACTCAATCTTCAGGTATGCGGGCTTTTTTATACACAGAATTTCGAAACTTGCTTTTTCCAAAACGACTCCGGTTCTGTTCTGTTACCGGGGGGGGGGATTTTTCCCAGTGAGTCACTACGGCACTGTAACGAATTATACATAATTTCTATATCATTTTACATAATTTTTAGATATAAAAACAAGAGAAAAATATAAAAATTTCGAAAAGCTAAACCAAATAAAATTATTCGAAAAGATAACATAGCGTAATCTTCTAACCTAGACTATGCCACGGAATTCGTTTTAAAAGTTTTTTTTAAATTATTTTTTAATATTTTTTAATGAAGAATTACGTCCATTTTCCGATAAAAACATGAGCTTTCAGGTAAAATGATGAATTAATTAATTCTGTCCCGAATCATCGGAAACTAATATTTTTTGGAAACACATTATTTTTTTGCAAAGAAACCAGAATGGCGGAGAATTTTTTTTGAAAAATAGGCTAGCGTCCGAAGCTCGACGACGAATTACTATTCGAACAACCGTCTGACCCGTTTACTTTAAAAAAAAATCTATCTAAGGAAAGATACATTCCATAAATTCATAACCTAAAAATTTTAATTTTTATCTTACTTCGATCCACGAATTAACCGTTTACTGATCGGCTCATGAGTAGTATTTTGATGAAACACCAAAATTTACCCGAAGAAATTTGACCGTTTTGTTCTAACTGTAACTAATCACTGTAAACATTTTTAGAAAATGTGGCTTACTGCCTTGACAAAAAATATGAAAGACTGTTCTTACACCCGAGGCTTCTTTTTCGCGTATCTAAAAATGATTGCATTAAACGGCAATCAAACGTCTTGGAATTAGGATTTTGTAAAACATACAAAATCCCAGAGAAATTATTGGAGCACTAGCTTTCCGGGAATCGGATTTTTGTAAAATATTTCTGCCTCGCCAGTGCGCCAACTTAATTAAACCTAACACCGTAGGCTGTGAGTTCTTTGTAACATACACTTTTCAAAGCGCGACGGAAATATTTTTTTATTTTTTAAGTTTGATCCAATAATACTTTTTATCTGCTAATGAATATACATCGTGTTTTACTAGTATTTTACTTGCTTAAGAACAGATACTTTGCTATTTACGTAAATAGATAGCTAAAGAGATTTTTCTTCAAGATTTCTGACTTTAAGTTCGATTACTTCCCCCAATTGATTGGGAACAAACCAAGCAAAAACTAGGATTTTTTGAAACATTTAATTTTGGCATCAAAAAAGTTGTGAGCTATTCGAATTACTGCTTTTCAGCTGTTCCTGCGCGACGCGAAAAGCGCCGAAGTGTTGCTCTCGCAGCAGGAGAACTTCCTCACCAAAGACGACACACCCACCACCCTCGAACAGGCCGAGAATCTGAAGCGACGCCATCAGGATTTCATGACCACCATGCAGGTACGGACTTTCGCTTATGAAAAACCCCAAAAAAATGGAACGATATTTATTAGAAAAAAGTTTCAAATGAAGTACAGTAGACGCGCTGTGTAATTAATTTAATTAATAGCAGTCAATAGTTGCTATAAAAAAATTGCTATAAATTAAAGGCATGTTGGATAAGTAATTTTTGACCTAGTATGTGACTTACTCTTCATAAGATTCAATTTAAGTCAAAATTAAACAAAAAATATCTTTGATTTTTAAGACGTGTTTTTAAGTAGATTTAATAATAAACTATCAAAAGTAATAAAAATTAATTAATTCGTGCAAAGTACTGCATTCAAAAATTCTTTGACAAATTGCTTTAATAGTGATCTGATCAAAAATGATTAGATGAAAATTGACAGAAAAACGTCATGAATTTGTAAGTTTAATAGTAAATAAATTTTATTCTAAAAATAATAAAATTAATGAAAATTGATTGATTAAAGGAAACTATTAATTTTAAATGGATTTGATAATTTATTTAATTTTTGCAATTTTAATTTGTTAAATTTTCAAGTTTCTTATTTTTGTAAAATTTTTTGCGATGTTTCAGGCAAACGACGAGCGTCTGGACGCGGTGATCGCGCTGGGAAATCAGCACAGCAGCAGCGGGCACTATGCCGCCGACAAGATCCACAAGAAAACGGCGAACATTGCCGATCGAAGGCAGGCGAATCGCGAGAAGGCTGAGGCTCAACTCCTCAAATTCGACGAGGGCCTGAAATTGCATCAATTCCTGTCGGACTGCGACGAGCTGCGCGAATGGATCGAGGAGAAGATGATCAGGGCCCAGGACGAGACCTACAGGTGCGATTTCACGGGCTAGATTCAAAATGCCGACATTATGCTAAGTTTCACAATGTCCACTCGTCGAAATTTCATAATATCGAAATTCATAATGTCGAAATTCATAATGCCGAAATTTGATAATGTCGAAAATCTGAACGTAAAAATGCATAATGCCGAAATTCATAACATCGAAATACGTAACGTCGACGTTTCATTATGCCAAAATTTATAATGACGAAATTGCATTATGTCGAAATTTAGAATCGATAATCGAAATTAATAACGACGAAATTGATAACTCCGCAATTCCGTTAAAACATTTTTCCCCCAAAAAACGTGATTTTAGGAAAGTCGGAATTTCGTGTTTTCCAAGCTCGAAGGCTTATATATTAAGCTAATCAAATGGCAGAAATATTTTGGCAGAAACAAAAACAATATCCATTTTTAAATAAAACTTATCTTCATAACTTCAGAGACGCGAAGACGATCACCAAGAAGTTCACCCGGCACCAGGCATTCCAGTCGGAGCTGCAGGCTAACAAGGAGCGGCTGGAGAGCCTGAAGAACGCGGCGCTCGTGCTCGAGACCGACAAGCCAGAGTATGTTTTATGGTTTACGCGAGCGATTGTCTATTTTTAAATTTTAAATTTTTTGAATTTTCGAGGTAAGACGGGAGAGCCAGTCAGAAATTAAACTAAGCAAACTGCCTAAATAATTGGATTTTCCTGAAACATAAGAGTAGATCCCTCAAAATTGGCCTGGAAAATGTTGGGAAACAATTTTAAATTTTTACAGCAATTTTACAATACCGTTTTTAAATGAAATTTTAAATTTAAACGATATGAAATATCCGCAAGAAATTAAATAGGAAAAATGGTATCTAGAAAAATAAAATTTGTTGCTTATTCCCGAAGAAACGCAAATTACGGTAATTTACCATGTTTTGGTTTATCAGACTACCTGGCATCTGCAGGCCCTGGCTTTCGAAAGCTACGAACATTTACGAAACATTCGTTGGCTAATTTCAGCTGCTGGTTCTAGCCTCAATTTTTAATCGGCAAAAAAGTAAAAAACTTGTGCTAAAAACGCGTTTTAGAAAAACATTAACAACATATAAAATTCCACTCTTCCACCAATTATAATCATTTATTTAATTCAGAATTGGAATCGATTTTTCGCGTTTTTCGGCAGCAACATACAGTGAACTTTCGAAAGAGAAAGCGGACAAAGCGTTTTCATGAAACATGAATTTCACCGTTGGACTTTTTAGTGAAGCGGGAATTTTTGCAAATTCTAGGTGCAATAATTCGGCGTAATTTAATAAATTGAATTATACTAAATTAAACCAGCTTAAATTCTCTCTTTTCCAGATTCGCGGGCACGATCGACCCCCAACTGCTCGACCTGACCACCCAATGGGTCCAGCTCGAAAAGGCGACCGAGGAGAAGGGCCAGAAGCTCTTCGACGCCAACCGCCAGCAACTCTACGTCCAGAGCATCGCCGATATGCGTGTATGTTAATTGGAAATCTTAAAAACTAGCTGAAACGGTAGCATTAAAAAAAATCGTGATAAAAGTAAAATTTGAAAAAGCACGTTTCAAAAAAGATAAAGTGCCAATCGATAATTGAAGTTTTAATGGACCGAAGAAGCGTTACGATTTCAAAAAAGTGAATTTCAAACTTATTATAACGTCAATAATTAATAGTAGTGGTTTAGTAACAGGGATAGAAGTAAAATCACAATTAATCTTTCGGACATAATATTTTCGGAAAAATGTGTTTCGGAAAAGATAAGATATCACCCGATCATCGACGTCTTAATGGAATTAGACATGCCTCATGATTTCAAAACAATTAGTTTCAAGCAGCTATGACCGTAATCATTATTATTAGTTTGTTAATATGCTTGAGAATTGGAATTGTAATTGGGAAAAGTACAATTTTTAAGAAAGCCGGTTTCAAAAAGTAATGTTTCATGTAAAAATATTTCACGTTTGCACAAATTTTATTAGTGAAATAGGAATTTAAAATTTATACATTTCATAGAATAGATTGCTATCAGATTTTTACCTACTTACCAAATATAATTCTTCTCAAAAAAATGTTTCTAAAACCATTAAAAAATGAGACCGTTTTAATGTTCTAGTTTCGAAAGAGTCTTTAAATTATTACTTTTCAATTTAATAATTGCTGAGAATTATCGCTTTAAAAATGGGCATAAATTTTAAATTATTTTAAAGCATGAAAAATACTGAAAAATTAAATTTAGATGTTAAAATTTACTCTATTTGACGCGTTTTAATGGTGCCAATATTCCAGGAATTCGCCGAGCAGCTGGAGGCGGAGATGATGGTCGGAGGGCCCGAGCAACAGGGCGGCCCCGGAGATTTGACCACCGTCAATGTGGCCATGCAAAAGCAGCAGCTCATCGAGTCCGAGCTGGTCAAGCGCGCCGCCCAGATTGATCAGCTGGCCGCGATGGAGCCACAGCTCGAGGAGATGCTCCCCGATCAGCTTGAGCACATCAAGGCGCATCGGCTGGCCGTCCAGGAGCAGCTGCAAAGGCTTCAGGTATTTTTTGAAGGATAATTTAAGTTTTTAAAGCCAGGCTAAGGCTTAGGCTTAGGTCAAAGCTTAGGCTTAGGCCTAGGCTTAGGTTTAGGTTTAGGCTTAGCCTGGTTTCGGCTTAGTTCTAGGCTTAGCTTGGTTTAGGCTTGACTTAGGCTTAGGCTTAGCTTAGGGCTAGGCTTGGGTCTAGGCTTGAGCTTAGGCTTAGGCTTGGGCTTAAGTTTAGTTTTTGGTGTAGGTTAGACTTAGGTTTAGGCTTAGCCTGGTTCGGCTTAGCTTAGGGCTAGGCTTGGGTCTAGGCTTGAGCTTGGGCTTGGGCTTGGGCTTAGGTTGAGGTCATGCTTAGGCTGCGGCTTAGGCTTGGCTTGGGCTTTGGCTGAGACTTAGGCTTAGGCTTAGGCTTAGGCTTAGGCTTAGGCTTAGGCTTAGGTTTGGGCTTAGTTCTAGGCTTGGCATGGGCTTAGGCACCAGCAAGGCTCAGGTCATGCTTAGGCTTGAGCTTAGGCTTAGGCTCAAGTGGGGCCGAGGTTTGGCTTTTTAGGTCTAGACTTAGGCTAAGGCTTGGCTTATGCTTGGGCTAAGCTTGGCTTAGGCATAGGCTTAGGCTCAAGCTTGACTTGGGGGTGGGCTTAAGCTTAGTCTCCGGCTTAGTCTAGGCTTAGGTTAAGCTAAGGCTTGGGCCTATCCTGATGTTGGGCTTCGACGTGAGCTTAGCCTTTTCCTGGGAGTGGCTTAAGCTTAGGATTAGGCTTCGAAAAAACCAAGCTGAAGTCAGGAGGGCTACCTTTAAAATTATGCAAAACCTAGATTTACTAGCGTACTAATCTTAATTCCGAAATTCCAGGCGCCACTCGACGACCGTCGCCGCCAGCTCGAACGCAAGAAGGCGGCCTTCCAATTCGGGCGGGACGTCGAGGACGAGAAGATGTGGATCGCCGAGAGATTGGGCCAGGCCAAAGCCCGGCAATTGGGGGAGAGCCTGCCCGATTGTCATCGTCTCCAGAAGAAACAGGGCCAATTGGAGAACGAGGTCTCGAATCACGAGCCGTGGCTCGAGGACATCTGCTCGAATGGCCGTCAATTGATCGAGGCTGGCCACGAAAATTCGGCCGCTTTTGAGCTGAAGATCGCCGAGCTGAGGGAGGCGTGGAGCGAGTTGGGAGGTTTGTATTTAAATTATTTGGTACATATCTGATACCGGGGGGCGGTCTGAACTCACGGAGACGCTAAATTTTCTAGTATTTTACTATTTTAAATTACTTTAGAATTTCGTGAAAGCCATTCGATAGAGCGTCGAAAAATATACCAAGCTAACTTATGTTCTACACGAAAAATGTAGTATAAAAGTTTTATGCCCTAAAATTTTAGTTGAAACTATGGACGAGGAAAAATTTCGGCATTTTGAATATACCTATATTTTGAAAACGCCATTCAACAGAGCGTCGAAAAATATACTAATGACTTTTTTTGTGCGAAATCGTATTTAAAAGATTTTTTTGCCGAAAAATAATTAGCGCCCCGCGTTATGTTACCCCTTCTCCCCTCACTTTCTACCATTTAAAAAAACATGGTCCTGGAAACTGTAAATTTCAATAAAGATATAGCGTGCTAATCCCGCAACGACATCCGATATGATATTCTTATCTTAATTTTTGGCCGCATCACAAACAGGCAATTTTTCTATTTCGTAAGGAGCATTTGTAGCAGTAAACGGCAATGATTTGATGCTTTACAAGGGGAAAAGTTTGTGAAAAATGTGAAACTTTAATTTGCAAAAATCACCTGTAGAAATGTAACAGCTTATTGATTAAAATCCCTTAAAAACTAAGTGATAATTTACGCTGATTAAAATTGATAAAATATTAAGCCTTAAGAATGCAGAAATTATTCAAAGAGAATCCTTGGTTGTCCACTAGCCCTGCGATACAGTTTTCGTCGATTGCAACGAACGAAACATTTTTTTATCAGAATTTCTGAAAAACGAGGATGAATTCCACAGTTGATTTAAACTTGTGAATTTAAAATTTTTTTAAACTGTAAAATACAAATTATTAAATTGCTTAAATTGAAAAAATACCAATTTGTATAATTTTCGAATTAATTAACATATTTTTGCAGAAGCCCTGAAGGCCCGGCGGGACGAGCTGGCCGAGAGCGAGAAGGCCCACCAATTCCTGCACGATTGCGGCGAGGCTGAGGCGTGGATGAGTGAGCAAGAGCTGTATATGATGCAGGATGAGAGGGGCAAAGACCACTTCTCCACCCGCAACCAGATCAAGAAGCACGAGCGGCTACAGGTGAGCGTTTTTAAATTGAGCAAGCTCCACCAAGATGGTGATTGATGGTAGCAAATCAAAATCAACAATGCCATTTTTCGAAATATTTTTTATGAAATTTTTAAGGAGGAATTACTTTAAAAATTTCTTGAATTTTAAAAAGTTACTTTAATCATTTTTTAAATTTCTTGATGCATAACTAAATTTCTCGGCGAATTACATCAAGGAACTGTAAAATGGATAATAAAATTTCTCGAAACATTTTTCTTTCTAAACTGTATCTAGCAGATTCTTGTCGAAACGTTATTTTTTCATAATATTTAGTGAAAAACAAGATAAAATTCTAATACGTTTTTTAACGCATATTTCTTAGTATTGTCATTCAAAATTCCCCAGTAGCTGTCGATTGAAATAAAAATCGGGAAGCTTTTGGAAAGGTTTTTCATTATAAAATAACCGGAAACCCAATAAATAAAGTAAAATAACCAACGGAAATAAATTAAAAATAAAGAAAATAAAATAACTAACCATAAAACAACAATAAAAATAAATTTTGACATGTTTCAAGGTATAGTTAACCCTCAGGCCCTGCTTTATCGCAAGTTACAAAAACGACTGCGTACGAATATGACATCTAAAAAAATACTCAAATACGCAGACGCAGACTCGATTGGTGCAGGTGTGGATACAGATTTTTGCCTTATTTTGAAGAGTGAAATTGCCATTTTTTCTAGAGTTAAATATCAAAAAACCCTAAAAAAATCATAGCTTAAATTCCCCATTTCAGGCCGACATCGACAAGTTCGCCGACACGATCAAGCACCTCGCCTCGCAGGCCCAGAAATTCGTCGATGAGGGCTCGCCCCTCAGCGACCAAATCCAAGTCCGCCAGGCCCAGCTCGAAAAGCTCTACGCCGGACTGCAGGTATGTGAAAAATTGTCGCTAATTGTACTCCATTGAATTTTGTCTAAATCATCTAAAATTATATATTTTTAAATAATTAAAATTAGTATATAAAATTCGAGAAATTCGAAAATCTGAAAAATTCTAGTATTGAAAAAGAATGTTTGATAAAAGACACCTGTTCCAGAAAATTTGAATCCCCAATTTTATGCAATGACATGGCATTCTTCGTTAAACTTCTTCCGAAAATTATTCAATTTAGTTTGTAAATTTCGACTTAAGAATTATTGCAAAAAAAGAGGTTTCAAAAACAAACATGGAAGCGAAAAATGCGGAACATTAATATCATTGCGAGAACGTATTCGTCATTTATAAAAAAAAAATAGATTTTTAAAATTTGTCGAAATGCGAGAATCGCGCCTAAACTTTACAAAATGTAAATTAAACCTACTATTAAATTTCGCGATTTATGAAACTTAATTCATGTTTAAAAAGCTCATTTTTGGTGCTTTTCTGGTCAATTGAACGAATGTCAACATCGAAATCAATTATCGTTACGACTACCAAAAAAAATCACCTCAAAATCTGAAACATTTGATTAGCATTTTTAGGTAAATTTTACTCCAAATGCCTAAATTTGAATTAAAGCCATGCCTTAAAATCACCAAAAAAACCACCAAGGTTTTGAATTCATGTTTAAAAAATCAGCTTTCTATTTTCTAAATTTTCTAATTAATTAAACACCTTCCAGGACCTCTCGAAGGAGCGTCGCCGCCGTCTGGAGGAGACCCTCGAGCTGTACGGGCTACACCGCGAGATTGACGATCTGCTCCAGTGGATTGCCGACAAAGAAGTGGTGGCCGGCAGCCAGGAGAATGGGCAAGACTACGAACATGTACAACTGCTGCAAGAGCGCTTCGCCCAGTTCGCCCGCGACACCGAGGCCATTGGCGCTGATCGCGTAGGTTTTTAAGGGGCCCTCATCTCACTAAAATGTCATAAAGTTTCAAATACGGAATTTTTTGAATTGAATAAAAAATCGGGATTCGTAAAATTTGTAAATATTTTTATAAGATTTTGTAAACATTAAAAATTTTAATAAAGATAAAAATCTGGTACTGATCGCAAAATTTTTTTATGGAAGTGCCCATGCAATCAATAAATGTATGATAAAATGGGGGACATCAAGCTTTTTTGAAACATTTTTTCGCGGATTAAATTTTTTTAAATACAACTGAATTTTTAAGTGTTTGTGATCGAATTAAGCTAATGACGAGCAATAGACCATTTCCATAGCATTATAAATAGTTTCTTAGCCTTAAAAGGCTTTAGAAATTTTGTTACTTAAAGTTACCTCTGCTTTCTCGATAAAGCCATATTTGAGGACTTTTTTACCAAATTCCAACAAAAATTAAGATCCAAATATTTAAATAACTAGGAAAATCGGCCATAGCAGTAGAAAAGCAAAAAGCAAATGCACGCCGCGACGGGGAGTCGAACCCTGGTCTTTGGTTCGGGAGGCAAGCGCGCTAGCCACTCGGCCAAGGTCGAAAATTTTAAAAACCATGGATTTGAGCCGAAAATTTACGGTGATTTATATCAGGTTGGAAAGAAAGTAATGGCACAAAATCTTTAAACCGCTGTAAAAACCCGCAGGAACGTCCGATTTGAAAGTTTGATATATGGTTTGGTAGATCTTCGGATGCTCTATCACGTGATAACCCTCAAAACACCCAAAAACTAATGTACGCGACAATACAGGCCTCAGAAGTTTCACGGAAAATTAGGTGAAAGCTTCTAAGCTAGATATCTCTGCATACAGGCATTTGCATACGATACCTTTAATACCAATCGATACCCCACGAGGAGTAGATATCGAGAGATCTTGAGATCGTCAAAATTGGACACTGGATGGCCGAGATATGGGCCTTCTAAAATCAATGCATTTTCTGGTTTTTGGTTCGGGAGCTGACGCAAATGCAGCAGTTTTTGGCTCGCGCAGGCCAAATTGTATGGGATTTCGAGAAAAGTTCTAACAGGTGGACCAAAATTCTAGGGGCCATATCTCGGCCATCCAGTATCCGATTTTGATGATCTCAACATCTATCGATATCTACTCCTCGAGGGCTATCGATTCGTGTTAAAGGTATCGTATGCAAATGCCTGTATGCAGAGATATCTCGCTTAGAAGCTTTCACCTAATTTTCTGTGAAACTTCTGAGGCCTGTATTGTCGCGTACATTAGTTTTTGGGTGTTTTGAGGGGGATCACGTGATAGAGCATCCGAAGATCTACCAAACCATATATCAAACTTTCAAATCGGACGTTCCTGCGGGTTTTTACAGCGGTTTAAAGATTTTGTGCCATTACTTTCTTTCCAACCTGATAGTAGTTTATGCACCATAGATTTGGAATTAATTCCATTGATTTATTGCTGAAATTAAACACAAATGCGCCCTGAAAAAACAAAAAGCAAAAAAGCTTGCCGCTGCGGAGACTCGAACCCTGAGAGACAAAGCGACTAGCCGCTAGACCACGGGAATAAAATTTTAGAAAACCATGGAATTTATCCGGTAATTTTACAAGATTTGTAAAAAATTATATTTTCACGTTTTCCAGGTGGCCAACGCGAACGAGGCGTGCGATGGCCTGATCGCCGCCGGGCATTCCGACGCGCCGACGATGGCCCTGTGGAAGGACTCGCTGAACGAGGCCTGGGAGAACCTGTTGGAGTTGATGGACACGCGGGCACAGATCCTCGAGGCGTCCAAGGCACTCCACAAATTCTTCCACGATTGCCGCGACTGTCTGTCGAGGATTCTCGAGAAGACCCATGCTCTCCCGGGTACGTAACTTTTTTTTTGTCAGGTTAAACTTTTTTCCTGGTGTTCCTGATCGGCCTAGCAATCAAATCAAAAATAGTATATATTGTTTTTAACGACTTTTAACTATATTCAAAGTAAAAAATTTTCAAAGATAGTTAGAAAGGTGCCGAAAAAACCGAAAATTAGTCATTCTGGGTCGAAAAATAGGATTTTAAAAAATGGTTTTACAAAGCAAATTTTTGATTCAAATCGTAAAAATTTCATCATTGAAAATTTTTGAAAGTGCAAATAAAAATTGAAGGCTATTGTTTGGGAAGTTCCAAAAGTTATTTCGAGTTTTTGCTGAAACATTTTGTCTGTCTTATTCATTTATTTTAAACCCAAATACCACTTTTAAAGCTAGTAGGTGATAATGGAATTCGTTGTCCAGTCCTGAAAATTGTGAAATTTTAAGTAGTTTAAAAAATTTATCTTGTATGCCATGTAATAGATTCCTGCACCTTCCAGAGTTGGCCTTGGCAATTGAGAAATCATGTTTCATTAAAAAAATAAAAAACCTAAAAATTGTTTTTGCTATTAATCAGAAGTCACAGTAATCGTAATTTGCGCTTTGGGACACTTACCAAAAATTCCAGCTATCAGTTTTTAGTATAGGCTGTCCCAAAAAAGAATAGAAACGCAAAAGGAAAAAGCGGAAAAGCGAAAAAAGAGTCCGGATAATTGAGAATCATGGAGCGATATGGAGCGCAGCGTACCTAGCGGAAGATCTAGAAACTTTCGTTTTTGACAGCAAGCATTTTAATGCGAGCGAGAACCATGAAAAATGATTATTTTTTCGAGGTCTTCTTCGTGATTGGCGCTGATTTCACGCGGAGAAAACGCTTGTTTTTTTAGTTGATTTAGTATCCAGCAACAAAAAAAATTTTCGAAAATTAAAACCGCTTCTATTTTCAAAACGTTTCGAATCTGTAAAATCTTCTAAATCCTACCGCTGGAGAAGGTACTTTTTTTGGGGCACCAAGACTTTTTTAAGGAATTTTAAAGTTCGAAGAAAACAATGTTTCAAGAAAAACATGCTTCAGCCGATTGGAGGAACCCATAATTTTTTGGTCCCGCATATCATCAATAATGGCGTTTTTCAGAAGAACTGGGGCGTGACTCGTCGTCAGTTGGAGCGTTGCGTCGCAAGCATCACAACTATCTCAAGGACATTGAGGCCATTGGAGAGCAAGTGGCCCAGATTGAACGCGACGCCGGCGAGCTGCGCGATTCCTACGCCGGCGATCGCGCCATCGATATTGCCACCAAGGAGGGAGAGGTAATATTAGGCTTCAGTGGTCCTTTAAAATCAGAGAATACGAATTTAAAAAGGAATTTAGCACTATTGATGTTAAAAAATCAATGTAAATTTAAATGGTTGTGTGCGTCGTTCGTTGACGCGGAAAACTCAATAGCAATGCCTTGACTGGTCCTTTAAAACCGGATTTTTCAGATTTTTTGTGAAAGATATTTTCGTGATGCGATATTTCCAGAAAATAAAATCATAGTTGTAAATTATATAAATAGTAATTTAATTATTTTTGAAGGTTATGAAACATATTTTTGGAGAAATCGACTAGCTTCTTTGAAGTTTATCAAATTTAATCAATTAAAAATAAATAGCAGATTACGCCAAGAAATTGGGTAAAAATACCTTAGAGTTAAATAGTTAAATAAAGTAACTACATTCAAACTTTACTAGATCAATTTTTTATACAAAAAGAAAGCTATCTGCATTACAGGAATTCTGAAAAAAATACCCGTCAACCCGTGAAAAATTTTTGAAACCTATTATTTTCCAGGTGGTCCAAGCGTGGCGCAACCTGCGCGGCCAGTGCGACGCCCGCTCGTCGAAGCTGAACGACACGTCGGACCTGTTCAAATTCATGAACATGGTCCGCGATCTGCTGCTGTGGATGGATGAGGTTGGCCTGGATTTCAATTTTAGTTTATTTACAAATGAGCGAAGCCTCTATTAACAGTCTAAAAATTCGCTCAGCCACAAATTTTGAGGAAACATTTTTTCAAACTTTTTGGTAACTTTGTCTAACGTCTTTGACGTCAAAAAATTAATGGAAAAGCTGCTTCCGGCTAGAGAAAGATCGAAGAAACACGGATTTTCGAATTGGCTCTTTGGTCAATTTGAAACCTATTGCGTTTATTTGGAAACGCTACTAATAATTTTTGTAAATCCAAAAACCCTTTAAAATTTAGTTTAACTAATTAAATTTGACATAATTTTCTTTCACCTTGATTTTCCTGTCATTTTGGAGAGCTCTCCAATCGTAAAAAATCATTCCGATCGGATACCCTGACTGGAAGATATGGATTTTTCAAAAAGGAAAGCGCGGTTCATTATAGGAAATCGTCACGATTAATCCACTAAAATGAGTGAAACGTGATTTTTCGAAAAATATCGAAGACAACCTTTAAACAATAATTTTTTGCTTTTCAAAATTTTTCTTTTTTTTTAAACTTTTTCATGAGACATATTATAAAAAACTTTAAAAATTCCTTAAATTACCTTTTGTCGTAGAAAAGATCTAAAGTTTTTTTATCTCACGGCCGCTAGTAGATATGGATTTTTGGGCATTAATGATTAGACAGCGCCATGGTCAATTCACTAAAATGAATGAAACCTAATTTTTCAAAAAACTTGACATTTCTTACCCCTTCGAAAGCTTTTAAAAACCTGTAAACATTACTTATAATCCACCATCATGGTAGAAAATTCGATAGATCGGTTTGCTAATATATTAGTAACTAGTTTTACGGTATACCGTGCCATAAATTAAGCCATGGGTCCCTGGCACATTAACAGAAATAGCTGAAACATAAGTTTTGAAAGAAAAAGCCGTTTCTGGACTCCTAAAAATTCTTTAAAATTAGAGTGTTTTTTATAGAAATCAAAATCAATCGTTGTTTCGGAACGTCGGCTAGTTTTTTCTGTTTTTGAAGAAAGTCTGGTTTTTGAGTCTGGTGAGGCCATCAATTATTGGATCGCGCCATGGTCAAGCCACCAAAATGAACGAAACATAATTTTTCAAAAATTTAACTTTTAAAATATTGAATTATGGCGTCCAAAATACTTAGAATTATTATTCACTTTTTTGCGTATAATATTCAACCTTTTAAGGTGAAGCGTGAGATGACGATGCACGAGCGCCCGAAGGACGTCTCCGGCGTCGAGCTGCTGATGAACAACCATCAGAGCCTAAAGGTATCGAATTTCTTAATAGCCATATTGTTGTATATTAAATTAAAAATATATATTCATTTATATAGCTTTAAAGTATCAAAATAAATCGAAAAATCCATTATTTTCAGGCCGAAATCGACGCGCGCGAGGACAGCTTCAACGCGTGCATCTCGCTGGGCCGCGATCTGCTCAACCGGTAATTTACATAGCGTTTTTAAGTTTTATTTTATTAAATATGGCCATAGCCAGTAATGTAATGAATTTGGAAAGCAGAATTGAAAGTAAATCTTTTAACGAGAAATACATTTAAAAATGTGTTTCATGTCAAGCCGATTTGAAAAATACTGTTTTCCGATTAATTTCTTTCTTTGACGCAGTTACAAAATTAACAAGGGTCCCACCGAATTATTGCTTACAACGTGAGATGCTTAAATAAAATTTACAAATTATTCAAATCCAAAAACGAAAAAAATTGATTTAAAGCGCTTTTTAACAAGTGAAGAAAAATCGGCAAAAGCTAATAATAGGCTTTTAAATACAATTATGATAGAAAAACCTAAAAAAATATTCTGTTTCACCGATTTCCTACGTAATTTACCCAATCAAACTCCATCATTAATTTGTCAAAGATCATCAAGTTTAGGAAAATGACCCCAGTCACCATAGTAATCGCTATTCAAACTTTTGCGCCGAAGAACATTATGAAACTCATGTTTTTGCAGAAAGCACTACGCCTCGTCGGAGATCGAGAAGAAGCTGATCAAGCTCACCACCGAGCGCGCCGATATGATGCGCCGCTGGGAGGACCGCTGGGAATATCTGCAGCTTAGTGAGTGCTTCAAAAGGCTTGTAAAGACTATATACTTTTATATTAAAATCTTTTAAGCCGCGGATTTCACCATTGTACCTTTCCTAACATTAACATGGAAAATTTCCAGGCGTAGTCCCAGATATTTGAAACATGTTTCTTTTTCATGGAATTTCGGGATTTTCAGTTTTTTCATGGACCTAGTCGCTTAAATGTCAGGTTTATTATAATACTTTACACGAGTATAATGCAAGAAAATGTCGTGAAAAAAATATTAATTTTGGCCCAATGCATCTAATTATATAAACCAATTTTTGGGGGTTGTTAGGCTTTAAAACTTTTTCTTAAATCCGGAATTTTTATTGAGCTTTTGCATCAAATTTTGAGTCGGGTTTTGATTAATTGCATTAATTGCGATTAGCCAGCTATCTGCAATACCTACAAATCAGTCGATTGTCTTAAAATATATTTCCGATTATTTGCGCGACGGCCCGATTGTCTTCAAATATATTTCCGATTATTTAAGCTTGCCTAAAACATTATTTTTTTTTCAGAAGAATATTTTCAGCCTACTGTATTTATTTTCTTTAGATCACTATTAAATTATCTAAATTTAAATTAGGCAAATTGCTTTCACCAATCCCACTTTTCCAGTCCTCGAGGTCTACCAGTTCGCACGCGACGCGGCCGTGGCGGACGCGTGGCTGAACGCACAGGAGCCGTATCTCGTCTCGCCGGTAAGTTTGAGCCCTTGAAACTATGTAAATCATAGCATAGTATTTTTTTTTGTTTCAATAATCGGATTTTTATCTATTTTACTACGAATAAAACTAAGAAAAATGCCCAACTCAAAAAGCACCAACATTTTTTTGAAAATTTGTGTTTCAGATAATTAGGAAGTTCGGTGAAAATCGATCTTAATAATGCACCAATAGCGTATTATCCACAAGCAAATCAAACGACATTCAAAACAATTAAATTTCGAACTTTAAACCAAAATTCCAGGAATTCGGGCGCAACCTCGAGGAGACGATCAAGCTGATCAAGAAGCACGAGGCCTTCGAAAAGAGCTCGTCGGCTCAGGAAGAGCGCTTCCGCGCCCTCGAGAAGTTGACTACGGTGCGTTTTTTCTGGTTTTTGAAACGTATTACTGTGCGAATCATTTTACAAAGTTTTTAGGGATTTTTCATCAAATTTTCTAAAAGATTTAAAACCACGACTTTTTCCAAAACTTCATGTCAAAATTACCAAAAAATCCAAAATTTCGAATTTTCTAAAATTTTTGACGTATTTGTACATCAATTTGCAATATTTTTGTTATCTTCTATTAGGGAAAAAGAAACAATTCTCTCCCCCCCCCCCGCTAACAGTACAGTACCTACAATTTTGCTTGTTGCAGTTCGAGCTGAAAGAGATGCAACGCCACGACGAGGAGGCCCAACGCCACCGTACCCCCCTCCCGCACACCCGGCCATCACGACTCGCAGCAACCCGGCCGATCGCACAGCCACGATGAGGGTATGCTAATTTCGGAATTTAGTTAATAATTAAACCCTGAATCAACAGTTTTAAGCCTAAATGATTTTAGTAAAAACTGACTATTTAATTCCTACTTCACTCCACCGTCATGCTAAAATCTGGGTGGTTTGGACTAATTATGCTAATTTATTGATTAATTAATAATAATATAATATTATTATTGAAACCTCTATTAAAATCGGAGTGTAATCCAATATAATTATGTGGCTCAAAAAATTTTGATTTTTTAATCTTTATGAAACATTTTAATTTTGGAAAGTTTTTTTGGAGTGCATTTCTGCATTACTTTTTTTAAATTTATTCCTTTTATTTGCTAAAAGCGTGGCGATTATTTAAATTTTATCAATTACAGTTTTTTTTGTTCCGTTTGCACGTGGTGGCCGTTGGAAATGTCGAAATGTTGAGATGCGGAAAAAGGCCAAGAAGGAATGGCGGAATTGCATGAAAATGGGGCAATTCATTCTACTTAAAAGCGAAATTTAAAATTCTTAAATTTAGAGAAAATAGAAAGATCGAGACAAGATGTAGAAGAAACGATCAATATCTTAGCAAAAAATTCTGATGCTGAAAATGATTTGAAACTTCAAAATTTTCATTTTCAAAAAATTTAGTTAGATTTATTTACAAAATCATCTTTTTTCGAGATTAGAAGTGAACAGTATTCTAGGTATTTTATGTAAAAAAATTAGTATTTTACGGGCTGATAAATGTATAATCAAGTCAAGTTAAAAAAAGCTAAACCTTGATTTTCAAAAAAATGTTTGAACCTTTCTTCATGCCAAGTAATTGCCAGGCCGTTTATTCCTGTTTCGACCCTTAAACAAATTCTCAAAAATTGCAGTATTTTTTTCTAGTGATTGATATAATATTCTAACTTTCCCAAAACTCTATGATATTTTTGGTTTTTTTTGGGATCATTTTAAATCCAAATTCGCGAAAATTAGACAAATTTCGGGTTTTGTTGCTTGATTTTTCTAGAGTCCCAGAAAAAAACTCAATAAAAAATTATTGCACATGGTGGTGCCACCGTATCGCACCCCCCGTAAATCTACCGTATCACCCAAAAATGTACCCGAACGTAGCCTAACGTATCCCATTTGAAGAGACAGGCGGCGGCACCGTGTCTTCTTTGGATAGCCACGGGCAACAACGGCCCGCACTCGGTTCGTTCATTAGTCCTCCACTACGTGATGCACCTATAAACACCCCTATCGTACCCCCACGGAGCTTACTTTAGTCTGTAGCACACTGTTTCTGCTTTATCTGCCTGTTTTGCATGCTTTTTCTGCTGTGGTACTGTTGTTTCTCAACATAACCGTTTTATACCTAGCTAAAGCCCGGCAGGCTAGCAGAGGTTTTTTCAGAAACTCGGAGACGAGTAAGGGCAGGCTAGCAGAGATTGGAGGAGGAAATGGACGGACCCCGAGAGGAGGGCAGGCTAGCAGAGATTGTTTGAGGAAATGGACGGACCCCGAGAGGAGGGCAGGCTAGCAGAGATTGGAGGAGGAAATGGACGGACCCCGAGAGGAGGGCAGGCTAGCAGAGATTGTTTGAGGAAATGGATGGACCCCGAGAGGAGGGCAGGCTAGCAGAGATTGTTTGAGGAAATGGATGGACCCCGAGAGGAGGGCAGGCTAGCAGAGATTGGAGGAGGAAATGGATGGACCCCGAGAGGAGGGCAGGCTAGCAGAGATTGTTTGAGGAACATCTGTTCTTTTTCTTTTTCAATACAGTAACTAACCCCTGCGCACCCACCGTAACCCTGTATTTATGCTTTCTTCCCCGCGATTTTGTAGTGTTCCGCATCCATCCGTTGTTCCGTTGTAGATCGTAGTCGTAGCCGTCTTCGTGCCGAGGAGCCATCCGGATGGCGGCTATCCCTTTCCCGACAGCCCCGATTCGATAGAGGCGACCAGAGTGGTAAGAAGCCGGAAAAGCGAAAAAAAATCGATAATCGACCCATCGAAAATCGTCCGATACCGCCAAAATACTATTTTTTAATGTTTTCTCGTGTAGTGTGCAGTTTGGCATGGTTTTTGCTTGTTCATTTTTCGAGTGTCGTGAAAATCCCACGTATTTTCCAAAATCCGTATCTTTTTTTGGCGAGCATATTCTCCGCAAATTGGATTTTTAAAGAATTCGGAATCTTTATTTTTAATATAAAGAAATGTGGAGATTAACCGGATCGAATCCTTTCTGACTTGGTTTTTCTCCAAACATTGAACTTTTAATGCACCTGCGTCTTATTAAGCTATTGAAACATATCAATTTTTTTAAGAATTTTCGAAACATTTTTTCTTCTTAAAAAATTTTAGGATTTTAGATTTTTCTTTCTATCTTTTAGCATTTGGCCGAGTAGTCGGCGTCTGAAGATGGTAACGAGGGTACGGATCCGCTCACGATTTTTTATTTTTTGCTTTTTGGTCGAGAGCTTCCTTTTTGCACCCCGATGGCCCACAAACACTTATTTCAAATTTTTTTACCTGCCGGACGTTTTCGCAATCATATTCCCAATCAATAAGCATAAGGGGAACACAGAGAATTTTTGGAGCTGAAGTCATCAACATTGGTTGTACTTGCAAGAACAAAAATCCAATGAATACTGTCACCAAATTTGGTGTAAGTGCTGGAGATAAAAAAAACTTTGAAATAAGTGTTTGTAGGCCATCGGGGTGCAAAAAGGAAGCTCACGACCAAAAAGCAAAAAATAAAAATCGTGAGCGGATCCGTACCCTCGTTACCATCTTCAGACGCCGACTACTCGGCCACTAGGCCACCAGGACACGGTGGTCGGGGTGTGGGGGAGAGCCTATGAAGGTATGGCCAACAACTTTAAACCGTTGTAACTTCGTTAAAATAAGGTATCAGCAGCTAAAAGTTACATCAATCGATTCGTCTCGTCGAGCTCTACAAGATGCACATACTCACACATCTGGGCCCGATGTCCGCCCGAAAACATTCCCTAGTGAAGTGCCCCTAAAATATACCCCGTGGTATCCCCCGTAATTTGCCGTGTCGCGTAGTCTTTCCCCGCCCCCAAAAATATTCTAATTTAAAGGGAGAGTGTCAGTAATAACTTGTAGTCCAGGTGTAGACTACAAATCTCTGCGCTCTCCGATTTCCCCTTCTATCGTGGCGCCTCCTCTCCTGGCACGCTCCCTTTAAAAGGACTGGCAAGGCTCGGCTATGGATTTTTAGCTACGGATTTGCTGTGGATTTTGCCGGGGCCGCGACACGCAACGCGCACCCCTTTTTTGATGAAATTTAAGTGGCGTAATCCATTACGCTATGAAAATCCTGGAAGGCGCGTTGCGTGTCGCGGCGCGGCAAAATCCACGAGCTAGAAAACCTCCACAGCCATGCCTTGCCGGTCCCTTTAAAACCCGTCGTTTTTGCTTCGCCATTTCCACCCGCCCCGATTTTTCAGGCCAAAGCCAAGTCCGCTCGCTGCCCATCATCCGCATCAGTAACTATTTAAGCCCCGCCCCCCGCCTTGGCTACCGTAGTCGCTAGTCGCTAAACCCCGCCCCCCTTCTCGAAATAACCCCTATTTTCAAGGAACGATGAAGGCAAATCTTGACTTACAGTTTAGCATTTACCATCCTTCCGTGGTGTATTAAACTCAAACCAAAAAAAATTTTCGAAAATTTTTCGAAACATATTTTTGTTGTCTTTTTCAAAAGTTTAAATCCCTTTTCGGGATTTTGCCTTCATCGCCCCTTTAAAAGCTGCTACTCCTCAAAAACCCATTTCCCCCTCCTCCAAGAACCCTAAAAATCGTCAATTTCCGGTAGGGAAATCTGAAAAACGGAAAGTATCCTGAATTATCTTTCCTTTAGTATAAAAAATTTGATAAAAACCAAATAAATACCCAATTTTAGGCGCACAACAGGGCGACGCCTTCGAGGGAACGCTCATCCGAAAGCACACCTATGAAAGTCTCGACAGGAAGGCGTCGAACAGAAGCTGGGAGAAGCTGTTGGCTGTATTGCGGCAGAGACAGATACAATTCTACAAAGATGCCAGACACAGGTAAGGGCAGGCTAGCGGAGATTGTTTGAGGAAATGGACGAATCCCGAGAGGAGGGCAGGCTAGCAGAGATTGTTTGAGGAAATGGACGGACTCCGAGGGGAGGGCAGGCTAGCAGAGATTGGAGGAGGAAATGGACGGACCCCGAGAGGAGGGCAGGCTAGCAGAGATTGTTTGAGGAAATGGACGAATCCCGAGAGGAGGGCAGGCTAGCAGAGATTGTTTGAGGAAATGGACGAATCCCGAGAGGAGGGCAGGCTAGCAGAGATTGTTTGAGGAAATGGACGAATCCCGAGAGGAGGGCAGGCTAGCAGAGATTGTTTGAGGAAATGGACGAATCCCGAGAGGAGGGCAGGCTAGCAGAGATTCTTTGAGGAAATGGACGGACCCCGAGAGGAGGGCAGGCTAGCAGAGATTGGAGGAGGAAATGGACGGACCCCGAGAGGAGGGCAAGCTAGCAGAGATTGTTTGGAGGAAATTGTGGACTTATTTTTACATTTTCAGAGACGAAAATTCACCAGTGCATGGAGAGGGCCCGATATCGCTGTCAGGATCGACGGTACGTTAGAATTTTACCACTAAGATTGTATTAACCATAATTAATAATTTTCTGATGTGAAGATAATTTTGATGTAATTTTTATTGGTTTATAAATTGGTCTGACTCCCAACAATCAAGTGCGTTGACTTTGAACAATGACGCAAAACTTTAGAAAAAGTTGAAACATGATATTTTTATGGCGGTTTTCAGCGTTCAAAAATGGTTACTTAGTTAATATCTAAGTCCGTAAAATTAATAAAAATTTTATAAACTACATCTAATTTAATTTTTTTTTTCAGGTAAGCGTTGCGGCCGACTACCAGAAAAAGAAGAACGTGCTCTCGTTGCGAACGCCGTCCGGAGCTGAATATCTGCTGCAATGCGCAAATGAGGTATCGTATTTGTTAAATAGATTTTTTAAAAAAGAATTTTTTAAATGAGCCTTCTTATTAATTATATTTAAAAGCGTATTCGACGCTTTTAGTCCTGCGGGTGACACCAGTTAATGGTACAACCAATATTTTTCTATGAAGTTGGAGCATTAAAACATGGTTTTTTAACCCGAAAAAGCCTTTGTCTATTTAACTACAATATAAGTAAATTTGAATAGCTTAAAAATTTGATGTCATTGTAAAAACTTTAAATGAAAACAATTTTTTTTAGTGTTTTATAAACCATAAATCTAATTTTTAACAAGCTTCTATTAAAAAGGTTCCAAAAATTTAAGTTCCAAACAATTTTGAAACAACTTTACTAAATCAAGAAATTACTTAAAAATTTATCTTTATAGATCTAAATTAAATTTAAATTTTGATTCAGCTAAATCTGCTATTAAAATTTTGAATTATATGTTTCAAAATTTATTAAAAATCCAAATTTTTCGATAGTATTTTTATCACTTTTTTCCAGGAAGAAATGGGCCGCTGGCTGACGGAGCTGCAAAGCGCCACCGGCGGCCTTCGAGAAGAAGAACTGACCCGCTCGCAGACGTTGCCAGAGGGCGTCCACCAACAGCAGCAAAAGGAGAAGAAGGGCGGCTTCTTCTCGCGCCAAAAGAAATAGGCCCGATTTTCCGGCTATTTTTTTTGAAGAGCTATTAAAGGGCCGTTGAAGTCTTGGGAATTTCGCAGCTCGATTTTTGTCAATTTTCTAATTAATTATGTTTTTCAAAATTTTAAAAAGCATTTTCCCCAGCCTTCAATGGCCCTTTAAAGGACTGGTGAAGCGAAATCCACAGTAATGTTTGTGTAAATTGATTTTAAAGATTTAGATTTTTTAAAATGCAATTTTTGACGAGAAAAGGTGGATTTTGCCTTCACTGGCCCTTTAAAATAGCTTTCAAATCCCCCAAACAACTTTAATTTGTTGATTTTGCGCTCGTGGAACACGCTTGGCAATTCTTCGGAATTTTTTTAATGGGCTGGAAAATTCAATATTTTTTGGAAATTGATGTTTCATGAAAAGTATTTAAGCAAAAATTTCAAAGCGATATATTTGACGACAGTCTCCCATCAATATTTCGGCAAATTTGGTGGGGGAAAAACTGCAGTTTTGAATCAAAGATACTATTAAAATTTACAACCTTTACGTGATAGAATTTTTTATAAAAATCCCATTAAATATCGATTTTCCAGCCCAAAATCAACCAAATTCCGAAACGCCCCCAAAAAACACCCCCCGATAGTACGGCTCTCCCATGCTAATACACAACTCCCCACTCCCCGCGCTACCGTACCCCCAATTTAAGCTAGGCTACCCACCCAAATATACCATTAAATTTTGTGATTCCCGCCCTCTCAAAAAATCTAGTTTTCAAATTTGCATATTTATCCCTGCCCCCTTGAAAAATACCGGCTTAGACATAACCAAAAATCGCCCCCGCGCTACCGTAGCTTATTTTTTTTTTGTTTGTTGTTAAAGAACGCAAGGGCTGCTTTATGCTTTTTGAAACATTCAAATAAAAAATTGGATTTTTTAGAATTAATTTTAATGTTTTAAAAAATTTCAAAAATTACGAAAATTTTAAGATTGATTTTCGGGCTTGAAATTCCGGCTTTCTGGCCCTCGGCAAGCCAGAATCCCGAAAAAACCACCACCTTCCCCCAATTCCAGCCGGGACCCCGCCACCGTAGTCCGACTACTGTAGATTGCTGGCCGGGTGCCAAAATGTCATTTTTCGCGTATTGTTTTGTGCGTTTTAATCGTTTTTCTTTCCATACTAAGATCCTCCCCCCAAAAAACACTGTCTATTTTTCATACTAGAAATATTCCATTTTTCCCGCGCTACAGTACTTCCCGACACAAATCCTGCCCTGCTTTTTCGCTATTATTTGTTGTGTTTATTTTTCTGTATTACACAGATTTTTTTAAAATTCGTGAATTTAAAATTAAAATGCAAATTTATGCAAATTTCACAAATTCCCGAAATTGTCGTGAATTACGCATTTTTTGCAACTTTGTGCAAATTGCAATTTTGCTATTTATTTGCGTGTTTGTGCTGTGTTTTTGGGCCCCTGCCACAATGTCACCCGCGTGCGAATCGGCCAGAATTTTTAGCAGAAAATTCGACGAGCCCCCAATTCCCCCCTGGAACCCCTGACCTGTGTTTGCCCCGCCCGCTAACCTGTCCATTCCTGCTCGCTAACACCCGTTTTTGTGCGAATTCTAATTTTTTGAACATGTTTTAATTATCTAGAAATTTTTGGAATTTAGGAAAATGTTTCCTGTATTTTTAAAGTTCCAAGAGAACCAATTATCGAATTTCCGCGAGTTCAGCATTGTTAAAAACATGTTTCACATTTTTTCAAAGTTCCACAAATTTTGGATTTTTTAAAATGTGCAATTTTTAAAAATATTTTTCGACTTTTCCGAAATTCCTGTTTTTTCTTTATCATGTTTTAGAATTTATTTTTAAGTTTGAGGATTTTGGCACCCATCCAACTTTCTACAGTACCCCCGATTACCGTGGCCCCGGCCCTCATTTTCTCCTTGATTTGTCACAATTCCCTCATTGGCATAAAGCAGCTTTTCGTGTGGCTTCTCCTGCCCCCCGCCCGCTCCGGCTAACTGCAAAATCTCTCTCCCCACCGTTTTGTATATGCAACAATTCGAGCGTTTTTTAAAGGAAATAAATGGTTTGCAAAAAAAGTGTGTCGTCGAAAATAGGCACCGAACGTTCAAAGATGTAAAGTACGTACGTCACGTCACGTCAGTAAGTACGTACGTAGTAGAAGACAGTTTTTGTAACGCGACAAGCGAGAAATAAACACGGAAAAAATGTGGTGTTTCACGGAAATTACAGGCAAAGGAATTCAGGGTGTCCCGAAAAAATCCTCTAACTCAACGCAAAAGTATAGGATTTGAATGATGGTTGCACCATTCGAAAGCCCTTGAAACGGCCAGTTTGCAACAGCCTTCAAAAACATGTTTTTAATTTAAACGCGCTCTTTTACAAACCTTTTTGTAGAATTTTGCGATTTGTCGAGGATGCATACGAGCTAATTTGCCTCAATTGCCTATAAAAAAATGCCTTGTAAAACGGCGGTTTAAATACGAAAAATTCTAGGTTTAAAGGGGCTACGAAATGCCAAAAATTGAGTGACGGCCCGAAAATGGGAGCCCTGTACGTCGGAGGCCAATGTACACCTAGGGACGCGGGAAGCTCGCAAATTTGAAATTCCCTTTTGTCACCTCGAAATCGCGTTCTCGGCTGTTTCTGGGCCAAATTTGATGATTAAAGCACCAAAACCATTTAAAATTGAGTGAGGATTTCAAAAATGGGCTCAGAATGCGCGAATTATAGTGTTTTCACAAAGAAACCGGGCAAAAACAACTTCGCGCAAAAATCGAAAGAGTGAGGGCTCTCGTCCCGCAGCGCCCGCTGGCAATTTGCCAGAAATCAAAGAGGCCTCCCAAAAGGGCTTTGATTTGGCAGTTCGGAGCCCCTTTAGAGATCGTTGCAAACTCGCCGTTTCAAGGTGTTTCGAATCGTGTAACTATCATTCCGCTCCGATACTCCCGCATAAAATGGGGTGTTTTTTTATTGACCTGCACGGGTTAATTTGGATAAATTTAACAAATCAGGCGAAATGGGCGAATTTTAGTAAAGGAAACTATCAATGCCCCCAGCAGTTCAAATTACCCAAATCACGATGAAATGTTGTAAGTACGATTTAATTAATGAATTTGATACCGACAAATGTAATCTAACTAGGGAGGTCCAAAATACCCGCAACACGGATCGGGCTGAAAGTTTGTACACTTATAGAATCGACCACGCTGATAATCGCCTCGTTTTCCGAATTTGCTACAGAACCTTAAAATTTGATAGATTAAACTTTTAGTGCCATTTTTGAGTCCCCGGGAAGGGGTTTGTTAGGATATCGAACTTTTTTGTTTGTATTTTTTTAGTTATTTTACGTAGCGTATCGGATAGAGAATTTTTTTCTGATTAGAATGGTATATTTCCTTAATGTACAAAGGACCTGGACGCTCTCCTACAGCTGCTTGAAGTAGGCTGTTTTCTCCCATTTCCCATAGTAAATTCGGAGTCCATACTAAGTATCGTCAATTTTTCCAATTTTTCGGGTTTTCGAAAATTTTGAGTTAGACGGCTCATTCGAAAGAAAAGATTTTTCTGAATCCGATCGCGATGCTTGTTTTTCGGAAATCTGCCAAAAAGGTCAAAATAATCGAGTCCGAAGTTCTGCAATTCTAACTAAAGAATCGACTTAAAACTCTAATATCTCAAATTTTAAGGCTCTGTAGCAAATTCGGAAAACGAGGTGATTATCAGCGTGGTCGATTCTATAAGTGTACAAATTTTCAGCCCGATCGGTGTTGCGGGTATTTTGGACCTCCCTAGTAAATGTTTATAAGTGTTTGACGCGTAAAGACATTGGCACAATGCGACGATCAAGGGATTTTATCGTTGGTTGAAACATACATTTTCATCATTTTTTGGCCGGTCCCCAGGTTTGGGAGCTCGCTCACTGCGGGGTGACCTCGCGTCTACCGAGGCAGATTTTGGCGCCAAAATACAACAGTGGGATAGCCGGCGGCTACAAAAGCCGGTTGTCGACCGTCTAGCATAAGAGACGGATGTTCGAAAATGTCTTTTCGAGATGCTGTTGTTGACAAAACGAATGTCGAAAATCCGAGCCCAACATCAATATGTTTCGTCGGATTTCAAAAAACCAAAAATGGGCAACCCTGCTTAATTCGTACATTTCTCTGGATCTACTTTATCAAAAATTACATTTTCATATCACAATTGCAAATTGAAAGGAAAAGAATAAAAATATGATCAGATAAAACAAAAAAATAACCCGTCAAATGGCCGGCGCTAGTTTGTGAATTTGCGTGGCGCGTGTCCTCGAATTTCTCAGCATCGCATGCCAATGGGAATGGTCGGTGGATGGAGAGCAGAACGACACGCCCACGCGGCCTATTTTCTGGCATCTGAAGGGGTGGTTTTAGGCGTTAATGTCGTTAAATTGTAGTTTAAAAATATTTCAAAATCCAGGGCGTCCCCAAAAAATCACACCCCTCTCTAGCCAGCAGCAGACGTGCCTGATTTTTACGATTTAGGTATCTATCCAAAGCTCTCGACAAGCCGAGCCCAGCACATCTCTTCGATTCTCGTACTGTTGAAACTTTTCTAAAATTTTCGAAATTTAATATTTTGCGAGAAGGGGTTTTCGTGTTTTTCTGACCGTGGGTCTTTTTAAAATCAAAGTTTAAAGATTTTCAAGCCTTTCCTGGCAGTTCAACGACAGCTTTTTGCAAGCCGTTTGCGAAAACCCAGCTTGGAAATCGCTTAAATCAGTTAAATTCGTTTTTGAAGAAAAAACGTGCCCTTTTTGCAGGAAAACTGCCGAAACCAAGCAAAAAATTCCGAGATTTCGGAAATCGAAGTGACGCGCTGGACTGGCCTTTCCGAGAGCTTTCTATAGATACCTAAATCGTAAAAATGTGTGTGTCTGTGGCCGGCTAGAGGCGGGAGGAAGGATTTTTTCGGATAGCTGTAGACACACGTCGAAACCCCTGCGAATTTCGATTCAACAGCAATGTTTCAGCCCTCAGGTACCTCTGGCTGCCATCCATTTCGTACAACGATATCAGCAGTATCGAGTCGAACACATCTTTCCGCGGCACGTCAAACAACAGCCGCGTCGTCCACTCTTGCTCAAAGTCCGCGTCGCGCCTCTAGACGCAATTTGACGATGACTGTTAGCATAGAAAAAAGTAATCAGATTTGGGACATTTTCTCTATGTATTTTTTACGGTTGTCAAAAACATGTTTCACCATAAAACCCGCAAAAAAATTTAAGATAGGTGTACCAATAATTACCTCTGAGCGATGACGTTCACGTAATTTGCCCTTGACGTACAGCGTGGCCTCGAGGAAGAGTACTGGAAATTTTCAAATTGCCTCGAAGAGTCTCTGCTAGCCTGCCCTCCTCTCGGGGTCCGTCCATTTCCTCAAACAATCTCTGCTAGCCTGCCCTCCTCTCGGGGTCCGTCCATTTCCTCAAACAATCTCTGCTAGCCTGCCCTCCTCTCGGGGTCCGTCCATTTCCTCAAACAATCTCTGCTAGCCTGCCCTCCTCTCTGGGTCCGTCCATTTCCTCAAACAATCTCTGCTAGCCTGCCCTCCTCTCGGGGTCCGTCCATTTCCTCCTCCAATCTCTGCTAGCCTGCCCTCCTCTCGGGGTCCGTCCATTTCCTCAAACAATCTCTGCTAGCCTGCCCTCCTCTCGGGGTCCGTCCATTTCCTCCTCCAATCTCTGCTAGCCTGCCCTCCTCTCGGGGTCCGTCCATTTCCTCAAACAATCTCTGCTAGCCTGCCCTCCTCTCGGGGTCCGTCCATTTCCTCCTCCAATCTCTGCTAGCCTGCCCTCCTCTCGGGGTCCGTCCATTTCCTCAAACAATCTCTGCTAGCCTGCCCTCCTCTCGGGGTCCGTCCATTTCCTCCTCCAATCTCTGCTAGCCTGCCCTCCTCTCGGGGTCCGTCCATTTCCTCAAACAATCTCTGCTAGCCTGCCCTCCTCTCGGGGTCCGTCCATTTCCTCAAACAATCTCTGCTAGCCTGCCCTCCTCTCGGGGTCCGTCCATTTCCTCAAACAATCTCTGCTAGCCTGCCCTCCTCTCGGGGTCCGTCCATTTCCTCCTCCAATCTCTGCTAGCCTGCCCTCCTCTCGGGGTCCGTCCATTTCCTCCTCCAATCTCTGCTAGCCTGCCCTCCTCTCGGGGTCCGTCCATTTCCTCCTCCAATCTCTGCTAGCCTGCCCTCCTCTCGGGGTCCGTCCATTTCCGCAGACAATCTCTGCTAGCCTGCCATGACGGAACTTTATTCTGATCATTTCAAACCAACCGCAAGATTCATCTTTTAGCCGCAGATTAGTGCCCACACAATTCGTCACGACAACCCGCTCGGCTGTCAGAAGATAGGTAAGTCCGAATTCGAGCTCCCCGAGATCCTGAAGGGCGAGATAAGACACCGGCGTTGCGTCTCTCTCTCTCTCTCTCTCTCTCTCTCTCTCGCTCTCTCTCTCTCTCTCTCTCTCTAACGCCAAAATGAACCAACACCTACCGGGTTGGCCAACTGCATCGGGATCTCGAATTCGACAAACTGCAAAATGGGGCTGGAATCCACCCAGAAATCCGTTTCGGCGACGACGACCTGAAAATCCTTCATTTCAAAAGATCTCAAAAATTTTACAAATGCCTATCAAAATTGCAAAATATGATTGATTTTTTACCAAAAATGGCAGTTTTGAAATCGAAAATTCTGCTAAAGTTTTTCGCTAATTTTCTTATTATTTGAACTACAGTGAAGTTTCTTTAAAATAAAGTTGACTAGTTGCTGGCAGCAATCCGAAATAGGAGCCGAATCTGCCGCAGGGAAGCTTTGCCGGGGCTCAAATCTCCCAATTATCCCGTTGGGGGGTGGGGGTGGAGCTCAGTTATTGCCGTTGGCATCAGTTATTTTTTCGGGTTTTTGAATATTTTCGATATTTTTAAGCTGCGATTCGGTAAAGAGCCGCCAAATTTACTAAGATTAAAACTAACTATTAAAAAGTTAAAATAAATGTGTTGCATAAAGCCATGAGATAGAGAGGACAATGCCCAGCATACGGAGGGAGGGTCGGTTGTCCAGGCAACTAAAAATGAAAGGAGGGCAGGTAGGGAGTGGAGATGTTACGTATCTACAGGGCGCCCCCCAAAAAAAGAAAGAAAAACGAAATACCGATAATTCTAAAAGAAAAAAAAAAGATTTTTTGCTTTAGAAAGAAACTTTCTCGCAACTCAAAGATTTCTAGCGTGATGATTTTGAGCAGGGATCGACCTTGTAGTTTTTCCCACGCTTCCCCTGCCGCCCAGCCAAAATAAATGCAAATCTATGGCTACTGTATAAATTTTTTATAGATAGAAGAGAAGCCAGAGATTAATAATGCTACTAGTATTAATTAAGGCTTCTTGAAAATGATATTTAGACGTCATCATGGCTATAAAGCAACCAGTATTCATAATTTCTTGCGCTTGTAATGCACAATGGATGAAACAGCGAATTTTTAAGCAAGGTTCAGGTCCTTTTTTAGGAGGGGTTACGATAGATTGTCGCGATTTAGGTAGAGGCCTAAAATCAATACCGGCCTGGGAAAACTGTGGTTTTTGCAAATTGGTGTATTTTAAAAATATCTTCTTTTTGATTAAGCATTGCTCCTAAATGATAGCGCGAAATATCATAATTTCAAATTCGACAATTTTTTAGAAGAATGTGTTCCATACTTTCACGCGACTAAAAGATTTCTAGTGTGATGAATATGCAACCGTTTGCGTGAATTAGTTTTGCTAACGCTTCCCTTACCCCCGCCAAAATAAATGCATATCCGGCCAAGTGGCTGCTGCATTAATTTTTTATAGATAGAAGAGAAGCCAGAAATTAATAATGCTACTAGTAATTAAATGGCTTCTTGAAAATGTTATTTGGAAGTTATCTTGCACATCAATGGCCCAATGTTATAAATTTCTTGCGTTTGCAGTACTGAATGGATGAAACAACGAATTTTTAAGCGAGATTCCGGTCTTTTGTGGAGGGTTACGATAGATTGTCGCTATTTAGGTAGCGGAATAAAATAAATACCGGCCTGGGAAAACTGTGGTTTTTGCAAATTGGTGTATTTTAAAAATATCTTCTTTTTGATTAAGCATTGCTCCTAAATGATAGCGCGAAATATCATGCTTTCAAATTCGACAATTTTTTAGAAGAATGTGTTCCATACTTTCACGCGACTAAAAGATTTCTAGTGTGATGAATATGCAACCGTTTGCGTGAATTAGTTTTGCTAACGCTTCCCTTACCCCCGCCAAAATAAATGCATATCCGGCCAAGTGGCTGCTGCATTAATTTTTTATAGATAGAAGAGAAGCCAGAAATTAATAATGCTACTAGTAATTAAATGGCTTCTTGAAAATGTTATTTGGAAGTTATCTTGCACATCAATGGCCCAATGTTATAAATTTCTTGCGTTTGCAGTACTGAATGGATGAAACAACGAATTTTTAAGCGAGATTCCGGTCTTTTGTGGAGGGTTACGATAGATTGTCGCTATTTAGGTAGCGGAATAAAATAAATACCGGCCTGGGAAAACTGTGGTTTTTGCAAATTGGTGTATTTTAAAAATATCTCCTTTTTGATTAAGCATTGCTCCTAAATGATAGCGCGAAATATCATGCTTTCAAATTCGACAATTTTTTAGAAGAATGTGTTCCATACTTTCTCGCGACTAAAAGATTTCTAGCGTGATGAATTTGAACATGGAACTACCTTGTAGTTTTCCCACGCTTCCCTTACCCCCGCCAAAATAAATGCATATCCGGCCAAGTGGCTGCTGCATAAATTTTTTATAGATAGAAGAGTAGCTAGAAATTAATGATGCTATTAGTATTAAAAGTGGCTTCTCGAAAATGATATTTAGAAGTTGGATTGTGATTCAAACGCCCACTATTCATAATTTCTTGCCCTTGCAGTGCTGAATGGATGAAACAGCGAATTTTTAAGCGAGATTTCGCTCCTTTTTAGGAGGGCTACGATAGATTGTCGCGATTTAGGTAGCGGCATAAAATAAATACCGGCTTGGGAAAATTGTGGTTTTTGCAAATTGATGTATTTAAAAAAACTTTTTGTCATTACGCCTTGCTCATAAATGATAGCGCGAAATATCATACTTTCAAATTCCATAATTTTTTAGAAAAATGTGTTCCATACTTTCACGTGACTAAAAGATTTCTAGCGTGATGAATAGGCAACCGTTTGCGTGAATTAGTTTTGCTAACGCTTCCCTTACCCCCGCCAAAATCAATGCAAATCCGGCCAAGTGGCTAGTGCATAAATTTTTTATAGATAGAAGAGAAGCCAGAAATTAGTAACGCTACTAGTATATAATTAAGTGGCTTCTTAAAAATTATTTGAAAGTTCATGGCTATAAAGTAATTAATATTCATAATTTCTTGCGCTTGCAATGCAGAATGAATGAAACAGCGAATTTTTAAGCGAGGTTCAGGTCCCTTTTTTAGGAGGGTTACGATCGAATGTCGCGGTTTAGGTAGCCGCATAAAATAAATACCGGCCTGGGAAAACTGTGGTTTTTGCAAATTGGTGTATCTAAAAAAACTTCTTTTTGATTACGCCTTGCTCATAAATGATCGCTCGAAATATCATAATTTCAAATTGGATAATTTTTAAAAAATGTCTTTCATACTTTCACGCGACTAAAAGATTTCTAGCGTGATGAATATGAATACGCATGCGTTTGGGTGAATTAGTTTTGCTAACGCTTCCCTTACCCCCCCCGCCAAAATACGCAAATTTTGTTTTAGATAAACGATATGTTATGAATAAATAAAAACCAAAAAATATCTCGAGTTTAGACCTGGCCACAAACGCCCAAAATTCAATTTTCATAAATTATCACATACCGATTTCTGTGAATTCTCTTCCGCCGAGCCCCCCTCATCAGCTGTCGTGTCCACATCACAGAGTTGTATCCTGGAAAATTGGACCAATTGTTGCGAATGTCATAGTAAAAATTTGTATATTAAAGGGAACGACGCGCAACGCGACACGCAACGCACGCAACGGGTGAAGGCACTTTTCCGTTAACTATAAAATTCTTTCTCAATCTCCGCGCCACGCAACGTGCCCTGAGCTTGCGTTGCGTTGCCTGTGTGCGTTCCGTGTCCCGTTGCGTTGTTGTACGGTGCATTGAGGTGCATTGCGTGCCGCGCTGCGTACGTTGCGTGACGCATTGCGTGTCGCGTGTGTTGCGTTTCGTTTCGCGTTGCGTGCGTTGCCTGTCGCGTTACGTGCGTCCCGTAGCGTCTCGCGATCGCGCTGCGTGCGTTTCTTGTCGCGTTGCATACGACGCGTGCCGCGTTGCGTGCGTTTCGTGTCGCGATGCATACGATGCGTGTCGTTTCGGTGCTTCTCGCCGCGCCGCCTGCGTTGAATGTCGCATTGCGTGCGGCGTTGCGAATGCTGCGTGTCGCGTTCGGTGCGTCCCGTGACGTTACGTTGCGCGCGTTGCGTATCGCATTGGATACGTTGCGTGTCGCGCTCCGTTGAGCGCATTGCGTATCGCGTTGCGTCGTGTCGCGCTCCATGCGTTGCGTGTCGCGTTACGTGCGTTTCGTCGCGCGTTGCGGTTCGTGGCATGCGTTGCGTGTCGCGGCGCGGCAGAACCGATAGCAAACGACTCTTCCCGTTTTAAAACCAAAATTTTAGTAAATCTGCCCTATCGTAACATAATCTGCCCTACCGTAACATGGTCCTATGAAAAAGCGTCGCGTCGAGGGGGCACGAGAAGAATTCGTTAAAAATGGTGGTCTCGCACCGGCGTACCGTCAAAGTCTCCCAGGTCGTTGGCTTTGTGCCCAGGATTTCCTAAAGAAAGAAATTACAGTAGATATTTTCTTTGATTCCCGCATTAAAATTTTGCGGGTATTTTCAGGAGGCCCGACCTTTGAAACATCGTTATTGACAGAAAGTTTAATTCCAATTTATACTAATAAAAATGATTCCTAATATGCTTTTTCCGAGCTGTAAAAAGGCTCTTAGAAGATCTTTCCGCCCTCTAATTACAGTATTTTCAAAATCTCGAAAATACCGAAAATGCCAAAAATATCGACCCCTCCGGTATCCTATGTGACACCCTTAGTTTTCAACCATAGTTTTTATGTCGTAAAACTTTTATATTACATTTTTTCGTACCCAAAACAAGTTTCTGCAGATGTTTTTCGACGCTCTATCGAATGGCACTCACGAAATACCACAGTAATTTTAAATCTTAGAAAGAATGAGTGCCCCCGATACCCCGTGTTTTCACCATATTTTTGACTTTAAAGATCATGTCAATGATTACGACTTGAAAATTGCGGCTTGTTCGAAACCAATTTTCCAGGCCCCCACCATGCTGACAATTCATACCTCTTCAGTAATTGTCCGATGCCGACCCATCCACGTCCGACGACCAACACCTGAAAATAGATACGGTATCTGAGGAACCTAGTCAAATGCAGAATTTTGAATTTTTGACTTCCTAGTACCTTTAACGACGTAGATCCGAGCTTTGGAGACAAGTTCATGCGTATATGTGACGAGTGGAGCATCGACTACCTGAAAGGGCAGGCTAGCAGAGATTGGAGGAGGAAATGGACGGACCCCGAGAGGAGGGCAGGCTAGCAGAGATTGTTTGAGGAAATGGACGGACCCCGAGAGGAGGGCAGGCTAGCAGAGATTGGAGGAGGAAATGGACGGACCCCGAGAGGAGGGCAGGCTAGCAGAGATTCTTTGCGGAAATTTGAAAACCTACTTTTTTAATGTAAAAATTGAGCGTGGTCTCCTTCTCCGAATATTCCAACGCGATACTGAGCCGTGGCAGCCGATTCTGAACGTGCAATTCGGGCACCAATGATCGAAATCCCAGAAAGACACATCGACACTGCCCGGAGATGGTATTTTTCCGGAATATTGACGATTTTTGCGGGGATTTTTCCGGCATTCCGGCCGTCAATAGTAATTCCAGGGCATTGCCCTCAAAAAGGACCCCCTAGCCCGCGAAAATCAATAATCTATCCCCGCTGAATACAAATTTTCCCAGGCGAAACGGCCAATAAAAATTTCGATAGAAAGGGATGCTCCGTTTTTTAATGAGAATAACGATAAATTGAAATAACAATTAGTTTTTATGATTCAAAAATCAAAATAAATAAATGGAAAAATGGAAAAATTATTGAAATTAGGGCGCGGGTTTTATGCTAAAAACCTTACGAAACACCGAATTTTAACCCGAAATGTTGAGCAAAATTAGGATTTTTTTTTAGAATGCGTTGGAAGTCTAATCGATCAAATCATCCGTGTTTTTTTGTGGAAAATTGTACTACATAAAATTTAGAAAATCGCAAAATTATTTCTTTGCCATTAAAGGGGCTCGGAAGAAAAGAACCTCACTTTTTTTGAAAATTTAGGCTGAAAAATTCACAATAGTCTCATTTATTGAGAATTTCGACAATTTTTTGACGTGCTAAAGGGCCCCCGAAGCGCGAGAATCGACCCCCGCCATCCACTAGGTCTAGCCAACTATGAAATTGCCATTTCTGAGCATAAAAATTAGAGATCGAAAGAATTCCAGGATTGAAAAATACCCCCCGGTTGTAGAGGCTCTTGTAACCACGAAACATTTTTTTCGAAAAGATTTTTTAAAGAGGGTCCGGCTGGGCGTTTCTGTGGATTTTATTCGGTAGATTTAACCATGTCTTACGCCGCCCTTTAATGTTTTTATGTGATTCACATCACATTATAATATTGTAGTGATTGAATTTTAATGATGTATTTATTTTAATTAATTCGTTAATTTATGAATTAACGACTTTAATTAATCGTAACATTTTAATTTGAATCGGTATACCGCTTAGAGGCAACATTTTCTTGAATCAATTTAGGTAATCTAATTAAATAAAGTCTATAATTTCGGCCTGTCAAAATCCATAATGTACAAATTTACATGGACCATTCGCCCGGACAAATTTAGACATTACAAAATTTCGGTTGCAAGAAACTTCTAGAAACTCATTTAGCAAAAAAATCCTGACTTTTTTGATCTCCACGCTAGTTAAATAAAAAGAATTTATTGCGCTCTAATACCCCCGGAAAATTGGTGTTTCAACAAAATTAATGCCTCAAACGTTTGTAAAGATTTTAATTCTTCGACGATTGTTCGTTAGATAACCAACCTCGCAGTCGTCCATTTCGGGTGGGAAAATCAGAAACAAGGAAGGGGCGGGGCTGGCCCTGGCGGCACCGTTCCTTTAACAGAACAGCTCCGAGGTGGTGGGCCGTGATTTCGATCGATTTATGATGCGGAATCGGGGGTATTTGGAGGGGGATTTGTTCGGGGTTGAATAGCCCCCCAAAAAAGGCACATCCCCCTCTCACGGCAGCCCCCATTTTGGGGTTTATTTGGAAACGGGGCGGCTGTGGAGATAGAGAGAGAGAGAGAGCGAGAGAGAGAGAGAGCGAGAGAGAGAGAGCGAGAGAGAGAGAGCGAGAGAGAGAGCGAGAGAGAGCGAGTGATATGAGAGAAAGAGAGAGAAAATGAGAGAGACAGTGAGAAACAGTGAGAGAGAGAGAGAGAGAGAGAGAGAGAAGGAGTGAGAGAGAGAGAGAAAGAAAGCGAGGCAAAGAAGCACAAAGAGAGCTATTTCGGTATTTACATATTTTCTTGTACTTTTTATATTTCTTTATGAACTGATATTTTCTCTGATAGAGAGAGAACGAGAGAGAGAGAAAGAGAGAGAGGAGAAAGAGGAGAGAGATAGAAAGAGTGCGAGCGAGAGAGTGCGAGAGAAATCGAGGGAAAGAGGGGGAAAGACGGAGCTATTTGTTTTTGTATTTGCATATTTTTATACAATTTTATATTGATTTATCAATTACTGTTGTATTTATTTGCCAATATATTTATTTATCAACCGGAATCCGATGGTAATTAGCTCAAGCACGCAATCTCAACTGACGATTAAAGATACTCGGTCTTCTGCCGCTCCTCCAAACGCTGAAACAACTTATTTATGCTTTTTTTGGGCTCACATTTATTTTTAAACAATTATTATAAGACAGTCGATAGCGCAAAAAAATTTGTCCGAAAATGTGTATCTTAAAAAATGGGAATACACTAAGGTAACCGGGAAAAAATATTAAAAATTTTTTACGAAGGAAATTTTTGTGGACCTTTCAATGTAGAATAGGGTTCGCGTTAAAATTTTTTTAAGAACTTAATTTGTTTAGAATTTCTTGCTCTTCCCGATCGGCTAAAAAAAATAATTTTTCTAAATGCCAAGATCAACTAGCAAACCTGAAAAAAGCGGGCCATCTCCACGGTATCGACCAGCCCATCGCCGTCCGCGTCTAATTCCTGGAAAAATTTCATAAATTTTTCATGGACAAAATGTGCGTGCTTTCGAATCGTTAAGCTCCACAGCGTTCAGAGCCCTAAGAAAAAGGTTCGTCGAGCGGGGACAGGATGGAGAGGGGGCTCTCTGCACTCTCGCCCTTCCTCTCGCTGTCTGCCCCCACCCCCGCGCGTTTGAATCATAAATGGTGTGTACGAAAGATTAGCCCGGCTCTGCTATCGCGCGCCCCACCCCTCCCCCTGCCTGTCTGCCCTCGTGTCTGCGCTCTGCATCCTGTACCCAAGGGGCCCCCCTTTTCTGAACCATGTGGCTCATTTGTGACTTGAAACATTCATTTTTCAATGAATTGTTAAATAGCTGGCAGTTTTTAAAGGGCAGGTTCAGGGACGTTTTTTTTTGGAAAAAAGCAAAGATTTTTGCCGCGGCCGGGGGTCGAACCCGGGCCTCCCGATCGGGAGACGCGGTCGCATACCAGTCAGCCACAGGTGCAACCTGGCCAGGGGGCCGAGGGGCGCCCCAGGCCGCAAAGGAGGGGAATGGCCTGTCACAGCACGGGCAGGCAGCGCGCGTTGTCCTTACGTCGATAGGGTGTACACGTTGGGACGAGTACACGGCCCCTCCCTGAACGCGCGCTTTAACCAGTATTCGTTGGCCCTCACGCGAGTGCATTCAAAATGTCGAAAATAATATGTCAAAAATTCATAATGTAGAAATTTCGTAATTCCGAAAGTTCATAGTATCAAAAGTTACATAAAGGATTCTCCGGAAAAACCTCCGAATCCAATGCAAAAAATGCCGACATTCTGAATTTCGGCATTATGAATTTCGACACTATGGTAGCAAAATAAGTGACTAATTTGCATAAGAAAAGAAAAATATGAAATTTAAAAAATTTAAAGTTTCAAGATTTTATAAGTAACCCTGTTTTACTGCGTAATCGATTTGTCCCCCCTCCCCTTTCCCAAACGTACCTTAAATATCGTGAATGCCCTCTGTTCGACGGTCTCTTTGTCTCCTCTATCATCAGCCACCGTCGTCCGCCCCTCCTGCAGCGCGAACACCGTCTGCGCAAAGTCCGAGAATTCCTGCATTTGTTTTGAGTATCGATCTTCTGAAGCAGATACAGGTTCTTTGGCATTATCGGGGGGGGGCGAACTTTTGAAAAGCAACATATGTTGAAAAAATTAGATCTTCAGAAACCCCCCCGATAATGCAAAAATACCAAAAAAGGATATCAACACCACAAACCACGATCATAATTGATTCCCCTTTCGTTTACTTTAATATCGCTAAAATCAAAGTGCTACAAATCGACTCACCGCCAAATTAAAGGCCGTCTTGTCGCGACTTCCGGTGACGATTCTAATCGTCCACTCGGCATTCGCCTCTGGGGTATCACGGGAAGAGAATGATAGACTGTGGATAAGACTCTGAAAAGGGCAGGCTAGCAGAGGTTCTTTGAGGCAGTGGATCCGGAAAATCAATAGATGCATAGTCTACAGGGTGTCCCAAAAAAACTCCCCTACCTAGCGGTCCGCAGTCGATTCCGATTTTTACGATTTGGGTATCTATCGAAAGCTCTGGAACAGGCGAGAAAACAAGGAAGGTTCATTTTCATTATTATGCAGTTTTATTCTCGAATTTTACGTCCAAAAACAATGAAAACTCCTGATTTATGCAAGAGCTGTATGCTAATTGCGAAATTCCTGTTGAAAAATTACTAGCTATTTAGAAAAACCTCAAATATCGATGGAACAAGAGTTGATTTTCGAAAACGAAACCCGCTTGTTTTCTCGCCTTGTCGAGAGTTTTCGGTAGGTAGCTAAATCATAAAAATCGGAATCGACTGCGGACCGCCGTTGGGACGTGAAGTATGCTAACTCCGAATTAACAGTGTCGGTGTCAAATGTGGCGAATCGCATTCCGAAACATTCTTTTCTGAGTTTTCTGAGTCCGCTAATCGAAAACCCACCGAAAACGTGATCATCGCGTTCTCCTCGTGGCCATTGGAAAAGGCGCTAAAAGGGTTACATTTTTTATGAATTTGACAAAAATATACACGGTTTTAATAACCTACCGAAACATCCGGCCCAAATATTGATCGGATGCGCGTTCCGGGGCAATTATTAGCGCGAAGATTCGCTTGAATTCCCCTTCTTTCATCCGACCGCTGGGGCATTCCTGAATCGAGAAAGTCATTTCCTCAAACAATCTCTGCTAGCCTGCCCTCCTCTCGGGGTCCGTCCATTTCCTCAAAGAATCTCTGCTAGCCTGCCCTCCTCTCGGGGTCCGTCCATTTCCTCCTCCAATCTCTGCTAGCCTGCCCTCCTCTCGGGGTCCGTCCATTTCCTCAAACAATCTCTGCTAGCCTGCCCTCCTCTCGGGGTCCGTCCATTTCCTCAAACAATCTCTGCTAGCCTGCCCTCCTCTCGGGGTCCGTCCATTTCCTCCTCCAATCTCTGCTAGCCTGCCCTCCTCTCGGGGTCCGTCCATTTCCTCAAACAATCTCTGCTAGCCTGCCCTCCTCTCGGGGTCCGTCCATTTCCTCAAACAATCTCTGCTAGCCTGCCCTCCTCTCGGGGTCCGTCCATTTCCTCAAACAATCTCTGCTAGCCTGCCCTCCTCTCGGGGTCCGTCCATTTCCTCAAGCAATCTCTGCTAGCCTGCCCTCCTCTCGGGGTCCGTCCATTTCCTCAAGCAATCTCTGCTAGCCTGCCCTCCTCTCGGGGTCCGTCCATTTCCTCAAGCAATCTCTGCTAGCCTGCCCTCCTCTCGGGGTCCGTCCATTTCCTCAAGCAATCTCTGCTAGCCTGCCCTCCTCTCGGGGTCTGTCCATTTCCTCAAACAATCTTTGCTAGCCTGCCCCCCATTTTTCCTTTTCCCGTTTACTCACATTTTTAAACCGTCCGTACATGTACTTCAGC